ACAGTACTTAAGTAAACATTTAAAGGGGCCCTATTCTGCTCATTTTCAGGTTCATATTTTGTAGTTGTGCATCTACTTTGACTTATTACGTTTACATGCATTTCAGGCAGGGGGGGGGGGGGTAGCTTTGGGATTTAAACCTCTGCAGACCATTTACAGTACATGCACTAAAACCTATATAACACACCGAGGTGTATAGTAACTGAGTATTTACTCAAGTACTGTACTTAAGTACAATTATGAGTTTGGTGTTACTTTACTTGAGTATTTCCATGTTATGATACTTTGTACTTCTACTCCACTACAATTCAGAGGTAAATGGTGTACTTCTACTCCACTACATGTTTTTAATACCTCTAGTTACTTTACAGATCTGGATGAATGATGTGAAATATAATCAAGTGTTAAATCAGACTTTAGTTCCACCTGGAGTAAATTCACAAGCTACCCTGCAGTATACAAAGTCATTCAAACTAGCTGCACCTTTACCAGCTTTGAGAACACTTTCATGATCAATCATTATAAAACATATCGTATATATTATTCTGAAATGGACCAATCTGCACAATGACTACTTTTACTTTAGTTTCTTTAAGTATATTTTGATGCTAATACTTTTCTGTTTTTACTTGAGTAACATTTTGAATGCAGGTCTTTTGTAACTAAGTATTTGTATGCCGTAGTATTGCTACTTTTCCTTCAGTAAAATATGTGAGTACTTATTCCAGCACTACAAGCAGCTTTGTGTTTGTGATTATGAGGAATGATTTCATCTTAAACAGCAGCTCAGCCGCAGTTTATCCGCTGTCTGACGTGGTTTCTGTCCTCTTCATTAGCAGATGATCCAAATCCCTTCTCTGTTTCCTCAGCCAAACTCTAAATCCTCTCACCTGAAACCTACACATATAATGTCTTTCTCACCTGCTAGACACATGCAGGAAAGCCTTTCTGAGGTTTTTGATTCACGTGCAGGATCTGCAGTGAATTTAAATAGTGTTTTCTTATACAGCGATGCTCATACACACAGGTTTGGGGAGAAACCGATTACATGTAATGGTATAACGTTATCATGATACAAAAAATAGTAGCTGTTTTTCCTTGCATTTAAAAAGACATGATCAGATTACTGTTACATTTCTAAATATTGGGTTTACTAGCAGGGTTACAATGTTACTAAATAACTAAAAAGAGCACATTGTGATTGTTTTAAAAAGAGAAGATTGAATTTCTTCTCTGTAAGCTGTACTGTTCTGTGGGCTAATACTTTAATTGTGAATCTAAACGCCGACTCCCTGAATCTGCTGTATGGTTTTCATTTTATTTTGTTCATTTGTTCTGTTTTTAATTCAGCAGGTGAACCTATATGTTCATAAAATAGTGTGTGTGAGCTTAACTGTGTGTATTCAAATAAAACGGAGCATTTTCTGTCAGCTCAGATGTTATTTCTGCTTTTTTAAATGTAGTATGTGCTCATGTGTTTCATTGTAGGTGCATAGGCTACTGCCTGAATATGCTCAATACATCTCACAATGTTCGAATCACAAATCAAAACTCACCTTTTCAGAACTGCTTTTAGTCTGTAATTAATGTTGTGTTTTTTACCTTTTACGTGTGTTGTTTTAACTTTGTTTTAATTAATTTTTACTCTGTAAAATGTCTTTGAGTTTCAAGAAAAGCGATAATGTATTCATATTATTATTATTATGGGCAGGTTTTCCTATAAATAAAATCTCTGAGTGGAGGACACATTTTTGATACTCAGATTAGGGTACTGATTACTTCTTTTTTTTTAAAGGTAACTAGCTATTGTAACGGATAACATTTTAATATAACCCTCCCAACCATAGAGACACAGAATAGTTCTGAGCTTTTTGTAAAAGCTTGCAGCAGTGATGTTCTCTCACACCTACAGAAGACATTCCATTTATCTATCTGCAGCCCGTCTGAGCTGGACTATCCCTCTGCAGACTGCATTGCAAAAAAAGAGTCAGATTTGTGGTGATTTTACTTTGCAATGCAAAACCAAGCATGAAATGTGTGTGGAGTTGCCCATCATCAGTAATCACTCCTGCTGCTGGGTTACTCTAATTGTTGTGCCGAGTTTCTCCCGCTAATAATGTCAGCGTGTAATCCTCACTAGCTAATGAACAACCAAGTAGGATTTCAGATGTGAGTACACCTCGACTTGATCCCCCAACCTTTTCAACTCATTGGAGAAATAGGGACAAGGTGGCAAGAGTCGGGGAAGAAAGGAAATAAAGGATTTTTGTCAGGACTTCAACAAGATGATTTCAATTACTTTAAGTTAATGGAAGAAATATAAGAAAGTAAAATATATGTTGGATTCGCCCCAGTTGGATTTAATTTATAAACCTCAATACCTCATTTGACGCCCGGCTTCAACAAGAGTACGGTGAGTGCTGCTTTATCAATGTTAATTGTTGTCAAATGCTTACCTTAATAAAACAACAATGTATTAATATGGCATGATTATTGGTTTTGCTGTAGAATATAACACATAAAAGATGTTGTCATGTGTTTGTTTTGTCTTGATTGATTTAGCTTCATAACCTAATTCAAACTTAAAAATCTATATCCAGACACCAGTTTCATTTTGGAAGAAAAATGTGTTTTCTAGATTCTGATTTTGTTTGGAGAAAATAGTCCTACTTCTTAAGATAAATAAAGTCTTTACTCCCCTGACTCAGCTTGAAAATGCATCGGAAAACCTGAATCTTTGTTCTGTGCTCATCTTTATATATATTACAATATATATTATATATATTACAATATATAAAGAAGTAAAAACTAGCACAAACTTAAACATCTAAAGCAGTAAAAAGGTAACAAACACTTAAAGGTTAATATTGATGCTCAAGAGGACTTTTCTTCTACACTATAGTACATTTAACTTTTGATACTTTAACTAAAGTTTGCTGATACTACTGACATACTTTTACCGCCAATAGCTTTTGATCTGTAATAAGATCCTCTCTGACCCTGTTTTAAACACATTTAGAAAGTCTTAACATGAAGTTAATTAACAATGAGGTCAATTATCTGTATTGTTAATCCCTGGTATCAACCATCAGTGTAAATTGGATTATGTGGAGTCAGCCAACTGTATCACTTTTGGCACTAAACCTACTGGGCCAGGTAGAGACAAAACAGTTTATACACATGAAATATACCCAGATAGAGACTGATAAAGGTGGTATTAGCAGAGATAAAACGTGATTCAAATGCAACACATCCATGATTATCGGGGCAAAAACTCCTTTCTTGCCTTTTTGCAACAATGTTCAATAATGGGGCGAAGCTAGTGAGCCAGCCTGCGAGCTAGTTCAGGCAGTCGTCAACTCGAACACCAATGATACATTAACACGTGACGCACCTCGTCCCTCTTACAACCAACCAAACACATTCTCCTAAACATGCCGCTCTATTTAAGCTGCCAGGTCTTCCTGCCTGCCTCGCTATGCTGCTGCTGCCACTGCTGTGTTCACTTGCTATTGCTACGTTCATGTTTCTGTTGCTGTGTTTCATGTTGCTGCTGCTCGCCTGCCCCACCACCACCCCAGCAGCTTCCACCCCAGCTTCCAGCTTCCACCCCAGCTTCCACCCCCCCAGCTTCCACCCCACCACCACCCCAGCAGCTTCCACCCCAGCTTCCAGCTTCCACCCCAGCTTCCACCCCCCCAGCTTCCACCCCACCCCAGCTTCCACCTGTAGGCTCGGGGGATAGTTATCTAATCATCACTCAATGTTCTTTGTAAATCTGTGGAGTGATGAGGCCCGAGCCTAGACGCCAAACTCAAACTATATGCTGCTTCTAATAAACATATTAAGAAACACGTGAGTTGTCTGACTGAAATACAGATATTATAGCGATGCAGAGACTTCCTCAAACTGCACATTAATACTAATCATACAAATCTAACAACAGCATGCATTGCATAAGCCTTGATTTGGTGCACAGTGTATTTCAGCATGGGATATACTCGTTTTAGTTCAAATTAAATCATTAGAAGGGTAATCCGCATAATGTGCTCCCCGGCCTGAGCTAATGCTCTACTTCCCTCACCGCTCCGTAAATCCCTTACTGGCGTGATTGTGTTCACAAGCAAGTGCATGTAGGTTAATTTCACTGCCCTTTGAAACTGAAATAAATAAAGACCTCTTCAGTGCCGTTTGTCTTATGAACAGCAGGGAGCAGCACGTCACAACAAAATGCATCTGTGGGAAAGATTCTCATACCTTTATTATTCTGTATATGAGGCAGACCCCTGAGAAATGAGAAAACTGAAGAAGTATTATGGAATGGACTCAATGTCGATGTCATATATTAAAATGTCAGTATAATGTTATATTCAACTGTAAAAAGGAAATAACTCTGCATCTTTGCTTATATAGAATTTTGTCCAAACGTGTGTTTTAGTGAATAATTAAAAATATGAACAAGATGAAAACATTGTGCTGTTGCTATGGTTTAATTTCTACTATAAATATGAATGGAATGAGGAGAAAAACGCTTTTAACTGTAAAACCCAGATCAATGAAAAGCAGAGTAGAAATATCAAGAATAGAATGTAAATATGCAGATCGTTTTATCAACATTAATCATCATTTTTTAAATATTATAAATGTCAAGCCTGTGCTAGGTACCCGGGGTCATAATGGTTGAGAAGGCCTATTATGCTTTTGGATTTTCTGTAGTTTTTTATATAGGTTTTTGTCCAGTTTCTTCCCCCCCCCCCTGCCTAAAAAGCTTGTTTACCTCCGTAACATAGTGACACCATTATGTCACACTCGTGTTTTTATTGGCTAGTGCTCCAATATATTGTATGTGTTAGGGTAAGGGGCGGGACATCTCTAACCAATCAGAGCAGACTGGGATCCCGTTTAAGACAGAGGCTAAAAAGCGTAATTGAGCCCCTTTAAATAGAAATGTTTCTCTCATTAACTTCCCTTCTGGTTTTGTGTCGGCCGAAGGTGCAGCTATGGACCTCGGTGAATTGGAGACGGTCGTGGCAAACTCTGCCTACGTTTCAGCGCGTGGCAGTATTGATGGAGCGACAGCAGCATCCATGCGTGACAAGAAGATGCGTGCCAGGCTGAAGCTCCCACACATCAGAGATTGTGAACACATGAAAACATCTGTAGACGCAGCTTTTGACAGCATGTGTGTCAATCAGCCCATTGGCAATCGCCTGTTCCTGCAGTTTCTGGAGAGTGAGGCGACCCATAAAAATGCTGGAGAGCTGTGGAAGGACATCGAAGACTACACCGTATGCCAAGAAGCAGACAGAGTGCAGAAGGCCCAGAAAATGGTCAATAAATACTATAAGTCAGCTTCAAAGATTTGTTGCAGCTTCCTGGAGGAGAAGGCCGTTGCTCGGGTCGTTGAAGACTTTAAGAACGCCCGCGGGGACCTTTTCAAAGAGAGCGAGCAGCAGATGCTCAAACACCTGGAGAAGATGGCCCTCGCTGGTTTCAAGGACAGCATGTACTTCCTGCGTTATGTCCAGTTCAAATGGTTGGAGAGCCAGCCTTTTGATGAGGACTGGTTCTCTGACTTCAGGGTCCTGGGTAAAGGAGGTTTCGGAGAAGTGTTTGCTTGTCAGGCTAAGGCAACGGGCAAAATGTACGCCAACAAGAAGTTGGAGAAGAAGAGGTTGAAGAAACGTGGGGGCTACCAGGTAAAGCACACATGTGGCAGCAAATAACCATTAGTGGCAATCACAAGAGTAACACAAAGTGAGGTCAAACTAGAGGTTAGAGGGGATTTAACCCAGTGCGGGCAGACATTTATTTTACCACAATGGTTCAATGAAAAGAAAATTGAGACTCTCTAAAATACCTAACAGATCCGCTCAGGGATACTGAATTAAAGCCCACTGCTTCTAAAAGCAAGACTGGTAAAGCTGGTAGGTGTTACCAAAAAAACAACAGACATCCTGTATGGATAAAAGAAAAGCTTCAGTGCAACATTAGTAAATTCCCCTGTCCTGTATTCAGTACCAGCAGGGGGTGTCATGTGTTATGGAAAGTCTTCAGTCTTTTAAACTACCCTGCAGACTAAATTGTTATTATGGCACATTTGCCACACGGTGAGTAAACCATGCATGAGAGCCAGGATTAGAAAAACCAGGCCCCAAGATAGTTAAGCTAAATGTTCAGTGACTTCAAATATCAGCCAGTAGTATAAGACCGCGTTTTTTTACAATCAACAAATTGAGTTAATGATAAGATAACTATTAAGAACTTCAGGGTGCTAATTATGTTTTAAATGATGTCAGACTGAGCAGAGGTAGGCTCGTAGAAACTGTAGCAGCATGTCGTTAGTGGCGCATTAGCAAACGTTACTCACAACCATAGACACAACAAACAAACTCACAAACGTGTGTTTGTCTCTCGAGCTGCATCTAAAATGTTATTCAGTGCCGTAAGATCAACGTATATTTCTGAAGTTCTGTCGCCTCGGGCTGCAGCTAACAGGATGTATGAGCAGGACGTTCATATGTACACAGACTGTTTGTTTGCACAGTAACCGTGGTGTTTCTGCATTACGAGTACGATTTAGATTGTGGTTGTGTTTGCGCTTTTGTAATAAACTTTGTCTATGCATTTGTTCACATAATTTGTTGTACAACACTCAACAATCCAACCTGCATTTTAAAGGTAGCTTATTAGCCCTGCATTGTTGAATCTCATCTTTCTGTAGTAGTTATTAGTATTGATGATTGTTGCGTCAAAGATGCAATAGCACCTGCTACAAACATCCAGTCCCCTGTAGCTTCTGTGCTGTGTGTAATTGTAGGTCAGTAGATGCATACAGTTGCTGTTTTATACATATATACGTCTCCTGTGGTGTATGATAGTTTGTCAAATATACTGTAAGCTTCCCCTCTCTTGAGCCCCATGCCTGTGAGGATACTGGGTTTCATTCCTTCTAAAAGTTGGCATTCTTGCTTCTGTTGGACATCAATAATTTCCTGATGTTTAAATGTGTGTTTTTAGGGAGCAATCGTGGAGAAGCGCATCCTCGCTAAAGTTCACAGCCGCTTCATCGTGTCGCTGGCTTACGCCTTCCAGACCAAGTCTGACCTCTGTCTAGTCATGACCATCATGAACGGTGGAGACCTCAGGTGAGCTTTACAAACACCAAGTACAGCCAGTGGTGGAAAGTTACTCAGTTAATTTACTCAAGTATTTTACTTAAGTACTTTTTTGACACAATTGTACTTAAGTATTCTCCTACTCCTAATACACAACATTTCAGAGATAAATGTATTGTACGTTTTATTCCACTACATTTATTTTAACACTCACTAGTTACTTTTTAACACATTATGTGCTGATATGGCATATTGCATCGTACTAGTAATTTAACAGTATTTCAAGTATCTCAATTTGGTCCAAACCAACTGCATTACCTAAATGCTCTTACATGTATATAAACAGGATAATATAACAACCATGGTAATAAAATACTGTGAAAAGATCCATTCTGCATAACAAGTACTTTCACTGATGATACTTGAAGTACATTTTGCTGATAATACTTAGGATCTAAGTACTTCTTTCAACACTGAGTACAGCCTTACATAAACACACACTCACATACACAAACAAACACACAGCACACTCTCTGGCATCCATCGACTGACTTAAAAACATGCCATTTACTAGCTTCTGTGTTAAAATATGGGAACAGTGTTTCTTTCTGCTCACAATCAGCCTACAGTAGATAAAGCTCACGGCTGAGGGACTACTATAGACTTTGCCTGCAAGTGCATCATGCTTTAAATCAGAGAATAAAGAGTCTTGTATTGCGTCGGTCACTGATCCGATACCTTGAACACTCAGGACATTATGATATAACACATTAGAAAACAAGGACACACATTATACAGTATCTCTTTCAGCCTATGTCGCACCGCACATTTGAACCATTAATAATCCCGTTATTCTTTAACACTATTCAGCAGGAAACACTGATAGCATATAGAAAGACAATCATGGTACAAAGGTTTTCCGCAAATTATTAAGGCTTCCATACATTGATTATTTTATCAATTTGAAGATTACTTCTGCACTTCTTGATCTCAAACTCTTCAGAACACACTTTAAACACCCGCCCTCTCTTGCAGGTTTCACATGTACAATGTGGATGAAAAGAATCCTGGTTTTAATGAGACGAGAGCTTGTTTCTATACAGCTCAGATCATCTGCGGGGTGGAGCACCTTCACCAACACAGGATCATCTACAGAGACCTGAAGCCAGAGAATGTTCTGCTGGATGATGCAGGTGAAACATTTCCTCTGCAGGATGTACTGAAATAACAGCTGTGACGACACTATGTCTTAACCTATCCATTATTGACTCTTCAACCATGTTTCTTTGCTCCTATGGAAACACTGATTTGTATTATCTTAGTGCTAGAATCACCATAACCATCCATAACCAAAATCATTGATCTGGTCTTAAGTATCATATTCAAATGTATCGTACTCTGTTCATTTGCACAATTCTTGTTTTTGTATTGTTATTATTGTTATTTTGTTGTCTTATGTCCGTTATATAATATGTTGCACTGTTGGAGGAGCTCGGTACCTAATATTTTCATTGCCATAACTACACTGTAGTTACTGTGCACATGATAATAAAACTCTTGAACCTTGAACCAAGTAAATATAATCTTTTTAAAGAGGCCCTATTATGCTTTTTTGGGGTTCTCCCTTTCCTGTAGTGGGTTATTAAGAGGTGCCTTCAAAAAGAGTAAACACCTGGCTGTCTAACACACCCTAATAGGGCAGTAAGAGTGAAAATAATGTATTATATTTGGTTGTCTATTCAAGTAATGATGTTTAAAATCCATGTCTTTTCATTCAGGACACGTCCGCCTGTCAGATATGGGTCTCGCTGTTGAACTTCCACCAGGAAAAGACAAAACCAGTGGATATGCAGGAACTCCAGGTAAATGAGCAAATCCAGTATTCTTGGATTCATTTAACAAAACTGCTTAAAGGTCTCCTATTATGCAAAATCCACTTGTTCATGTCTTTTCTACATCAACATGTGTCCCCTCTGTGTAAAGAGATTCTGAAAGTTTCAGGAAAAAATATTCTCTCACTTTTTGTCCTGATCCATTTATATAAAAACCTGTCTGAAAATGAGCTGATCAGATTTTGGCCACTTTATGATGTCATAACGATTTTTTGGCTTGTGTAACAACCCAGTCTCACGGCATTTCGTGTTATAGTCACGAAATTAATTTAATCTATTGATTCGTGTTCACCAACACGATTTCCGCATTTTTTTCGTGTCACACAGAACGATTTTAAAAAGCAATGTATTTCTATTGGTAGTATGTTTCGTGCCTGCACAACGTATTTTTGTCCGGTCGGGTCTTGGAAGACCAGAAGCTGTGTGGTTCATAAAAACATTTTCTTACTCAATATCTTACCCTAAGCCTAACCCTATCCCTTTTATTTTAAATTGTATAATGTCGGAGTTTTTTTGCCGTCCGCGAGGAAAAGAAATGGCTCAGAGCCTCAGAATACTGAAATCTGTATTTTAAAAAATCTTTTTTTCCTTCTAATTTGTTATTATTTGGTGCAGGCACGAAACATACTACCAATATAAATACATTGCTTCTAAAATCGTTCTGTGTCAGAATACTTAAATCTGTATTTTTTTAAATATCTTTATCCTTCTAATTTGTTATTATTTACATTGATTTTAAAATCGTTCTGTGTGACACGAATAAAATTGGGAAATCGTGTTGGTGAACACGAATCAATAGATTAATTTCGTGACTATAACACAAAATGCCGTGAGACTGTGTTGTGTGTAACCATTAGCCAATCAGCAACCAAGGTAACCCCCCCCCCCCACACCTTATCACCTGAATCTCCTCCTAGAGCACCATTGAGTTCTTTTGAACCAAATATCTCTCAGAGCGGCGTGGGGAGTGGTTCCTTATTTTCATCTAAAGTAACAGACAGAGAATCAGCACTTTTGAAACAGGGCTGAAACAGAGGGGATTATGGGATGCTGCAATGATCTGTTTGGTGTTTGGATCCAAACACTTCAGAGACATGTTTTGTATATATCTGAGACCTATAATATATTGATGAAAAACAGTATAATAGGGGACCTTTAAGTGTAGATAAAATGCTCTAATCCAGGTTATTGTTATGGTGAAACCACACTCATGTTGTCTATGAATACAGGTTTCATGGCTCCAGAGCTGCTCCAGAAGAAGGAGTATGACTACACAGTGGATTATTTCACGCTGGGAGTCACCCTGTATGAGATGATTGCCGCCAAAGGGCCCTTTAGAGTACGAGGAGAGCAGGTACCTAACATGTGTAACACAGACACACAGGGGGACCTTTATGGGTTAAAAATATCCCCTAATTGCTCTTGTCCAATGCCAAACCATACAAATGTCCTCTTTCTTTAGGTTGAGAATACGGAGGTTGCTCGCAGGATCTTGAATGATCCAGTTTCATACACACCGGTCTTCAGCAAAGACTGCAAGGATATCTGTGAAGGCCTGATGCACAAGGACCCAGAAAAACGTCTCGGGTTCAAAAACAACGACTGTGAGGAGCTGAAAAAACAGCCTTTCTTCAAAGATATTAACTGGGGTTGCCTGGAAGGAGGTGGGTGACGTCTAACAAATACAATCGAAGAAGACTTATCTGCATAATAAGGTCGAAATAAAGAAATATATAGATTTTTCCTATGTCATATTTTATTATGCTTTTTGGGGTTTTCCCCTGAAATCCCAAAGTTTCTGTTTCACACACTCCCTCCCCCACAATGTAACCCTCGCACTTCTATTAGCGAGTGCTCCAACACATTGTACATGGCTAAGGGGCGGGACATCTCTACGCAGTTGACCAATCACAACAAAGCTGGACAGCAAACCAATCACAGCCATGAATGTATAAAGAGAACTGGATACAGCGTTGGAGGCGGGACCCCGTTTATTAGGGTCTGAGACCTAGGTCGGCGAAGACCCTATTGAAATCGGTCGCGCAGCGACCGATAAACCTTTGACCCCCGCAACACATGTGAAAACTCACCAAATTTTGCACGCGCGTCAGAAGTGGTGCAACTTGCGATATGTAATTGGTTCCGGAACTTTGCGTAAAAAATTGCGTAGGCCACGCCCACTTCCGTTTTTAACGTAAACTCCCCCCACTTTAACTTTCACGTAAACGAAACGAAACTCGCTACGCATATCTAGGGTGCGGAGACGAACAAAAAAGCCTCTTGGAGGGGTAAAAAAGAACGTACAGGAAGTCGGCCATTTTGAATTTGGCGTCGAAAAAACGCGATTTATCGCGTTTCTCGTCCTCCGCGCAAAATCTATCTTCTACCAGCGACTTTATCCGTACGACTCGAAATTCGTCGGGTAGCATCTCCAGACATGGGCAATTCAAAGTTATCACGGAAGTTTTTTTCTTTCGCACGCCGTGATTTGGCGCCAAAAGTTCGCGTTCGCTCGATGCTAGGCCCATCAAACGCCATGGAACACGATGATGTCATAACTCAAACTGACATGCTCACAACGCCACCAAACTTCACATGATGGTTAACACTGCGGCCCTGAACAGCTCTACGTCAAATTTTATGTTACTTAATATGGCGTTACCATGGCAACGAATCCCTCGCCATAAAACACGGTGTCGCTGTAACTCCAATGGACACGGTCCCATCGTCCACCAATCTTCACTTTTATATCACCGGTCCATGCCTCAAAAGCTCTACGTGAAATCTGAGATCTCACCGTATGCCGTTTCCATGGCAACGCATACCTCGCCGTAAAACACAATGTTGTCTTAAATCAATGGAAAAGGTTCCAAACTGCACCAGACTTCAGATGACAGTTAATGGTCCGGCCCTCAACAACTCTACGCCTAAGTTAAGAAATACTTTATAAATCCACAAGGGGAAATTACATTTGTCCCAACCCTGACCCTTTTCACTCTGTTGTTATTGACATGACATCACACACATACTTTAAGCACACTCTATTCATGTTTTGGTAGCCAAGTGCATATACTGGTATGATAATTATATTCTGATTCTGATTCTGATAACTGTTTGTTTTTTAAAAAAAATCACATGACTGAATGTTAACCAGGGTTTTCAGTCATTAACACTTTGGTTTAAAGCATCATACTCATTCTAAACAACTTTTTTAACTATTTATTGGAAGCTGTGGGGAATTAAAGCAGAAGACATGAGCGGAGAAGTATTTTGCGTTGGCTCTTTCCTGAACTTCAGTTTTTGGTGCTCCCATATCAACTGCTGAACTGGATGGTTAACTTTCTGCTGAGAAACATTTGACCTTTGTTATAACAAAATAAACAATCCATGGAATCACACGGCTAAAAATCGATAGTTCTCTTGCAGCTGCTGTGTTGCAATAATCAGATACACTTACACAAGATACAGAATTGTTGGGACACTAACACTCATACCATACATGTCAATCTGAATTAAAAGCTTGAAATAACACAAGATAAAGATTACACAAGATGATAAGTGAAAAACAAGTTAAGGTTTAGCAGCCGAAAGAAGTGAAACTTACTTACAGAACTTTGTGTTCCAAACCAGAAGTCATCATGCCAATGGCAATGATCTTGTTTTTGACTGATTCAACATGATGTTTTGTGTCAGAGAACAACAAACATGACATGGTTCTGTTACACGTTGGTAGCTTAAATACAAAATATTTGAGATTATGCAAGGGAAGACCATGTGGCAAGACCAACCTGGTCTCACCAGAATGCGTGACTCCACCACGACTCCTTAACACCGCAGTGCGTGGTGGAGTCACGAACTTTGCTACATTTACGTGTCTGCACCACGCAAACAACCCCAATGTAAAGTGAATGAGGCTCCTTTGTCCTTAACCCTAGCCCTGAACAGCTCTACGCCAATTATGGGATGTCATCATATGCCGTAGCCATGGCGACAGATCCCTCGCCATGAAACACTGTGTTGTCCTAACTCACTGGAAAAACGTCCAAACGGCACCAGACATCAGATGATGGCTAATGGTCCGGCCCTCAACAGCTCTACGCCAATTATGGGATGTCATCATATGCCGTTTCCATGGCAACGCATCCCTCGCCAAAAAACACAATGTTGTCTTAAGCAGGGGCGTCGCCTGGACCTGAAAACATTCGGGGCTTAGCCCACAGTGGCGGCGGCACTACAGTGGAATATTCTACTGCAACACTCCCCACACGCACACACACACAGTACACCCGCGACTGTTACAATGAAGGCTCGATAATCAGCTCACGGCATATAGGCAGTGGTAAAGTGGTATTTTTCATGAGTGGGGGGCTCACCTCCCCGGGAAGATTTTTTTTTAAATATTGAAGTTAAATGCATCAATCTGGTGCACTTTGAGAGCAAAATGAAGAGATCTATGGATACCTCTCTCAACACCCATATGAAGCAGAACTGTAAACAGATTTACTTTTTCTTTATGGATATTTTACTAATCACTCCCCTTTTAAACTCTATTCTTGTTTTACTGCCATATAGTATTTCATAACTGTTTTTCCTTTATTCTCTTATTTTTTTTATAACTATAATGATCATATGAAGGTGTGCCGCGGAAATAATCTTTTGAATAATTTGTGACCAAACCGTTTGAGACCCACTGAGATAACTTAGACTAAAGTTATGTATCTAAACACTCAGAGAGTCCTTTAGCTCACCTGAGTCTCTCAGTCTGAGAGGAGAGGACTCTCTTCCAGCTTCTTGTGGAAACAGCTCCTTATGTCCGTTAGTGCAGCTAGCTAACCAGATGCTAACAACACGGTCCATGCTGGCACTGGTCCCTCCCTCCCCCTCTCTCCCTTGCCCCTATCACACCGGCGCTTTTCCAGCTCCTGCTCGGAGCTGGAGCTGGAAAAGCGCCGGTTTTTCCTGTTCACACCGCAGCGGCGGCGCGTCATAGCTCCGGAATGCGGTTCACTTCCAGCTCCAAAAAATTGTCGGTCCAGAGGCAAGAGCTTCGGAGCTATGACGCGGCGTCTCTTACGTCGAGGCGTGCAGGAAACCTTACTTTGACCAGCCGTTCGCTGTTATTGATCATTGTGGAGAGCAGGCAGACGTTTTGTTTGTTATTATAGCAGCTATCGGATGGAATTAATACATGGGCTGTACAGGTTGTCATGTCCGACTATCACAAGTAGAATCATAATGAAAAATACGCCGGTAAAATGTGCCTGTAGAAAACGGCTTAGCAAGTAGTCAGTTTAGCTTCGGTTGCTATGCTAACATCACCCATGTTATACCAGAGAAACTTTCATAACAGCGTTGTGATGCCAAACAGCGTCAATTCAGACTGACACACATTCACTTAAGGGGAACTGGGGATATGTATCAGCTGCTTGTGTGACAGTCAGACAGTGAATACTTTAGAGCCGTGTGAGCTAACCCGGAGCTAACGGGAGAATAAACTCCCGTGGAAGAGCAGCCAGCACTGCAGCGGTCGGTAAATGCCGCTGAAACACATTAATAAACAATGAACCACGGCACTCTGGAGAAAAGTATAAGGTTGGAGAAGTCGTTATTTAATTTAATCTGGCTTCGTATGATTAAAAGCAACACGATCATCGACCCGACGCAGTCCCCGGCCCGTTGTTGTTGTGGGAGAAAATCAGCGACGTAAACTGTGACGTCATGACGCAGCAGCGGCAGCTCTGGGCGGTGTGAACAGAGCGGGAGCTGAAAAGGGAAACCGGAGCTGAACCAGAAAAGCTCTCGCTAGGAGCTAGAAAGGGAAAAGCGCTGGTGTGAAAGCCGCACCTCTCTCTCTCTCTCTCACACTAAATGCGCTATTGCCACACACACACAGAGCCGAGCTTGAATGACACAAGCACACGTTTATTTCCATGCAACTCTCTGATTGGTCTGGTGTCATGCCTCTGTTGCATTCACTGAACACAGGAAATTACAGTGCTGCCGTCCTCTCTTGTGTCATGATGAGGTTCACGTAAAGCACGGTTAATGTATTATATTATTGAGGGAGAATTGTCCGGGGCTAGAGAAAAAACATTCGGGGCTAAAGCCCCGGATGCCCAGGCCAGGCGACGCCACTGGTCTTAAGTCAATGGAAAATGATCCAAACTGCACCAGACTTCAGATGATGGCTACTAGTCCGGCCCTCAACACCTCAATATGACAATAGTGAGTTTTCCTCTAAAGCTGTTGCCATGGCAACGCATCCCTCGCCGTTAAGCATGATATTGCTATAACTCCTGTGTAAATGGTAAAAAAGTGTTCAAACTTTACATGTGTGCTAACGGTACAGCCCTAAAGACATATATGTGTCAGTTTTGAGATTTCGTCAAATGCCGTTGCCATGGTAACAAAATGGTCGCCGTGAAACACGGTTTTCTCATAACTCCAGTTAACATGGTCCAAACGGCCCAGAACTTCACAGGTTTGATAACGATGCAGCCCTCAACACATCTAGGCATATTATGGGATGTCATCAAATGCCGTTGCCATGGCGACAGATCACTCGCCATCAAACACAATGTTTATGATACTGCTGTAAATCCCATGTACGTTGTCCGATCGGCCTGAAACTTTCCACGTTTGCCAACGTTCGAGTCCTCGAGACACCTAGACACACACCTCGACGTGCGGACAACAGCCTGCGGAGCGTCGAAGACCCGCTCAACGCTGCTTGCAGCTTTAAATTTAATTTAAACGGGACCCCGTTTATTCCTTTTAAAGTTGCTCAGTGGCGCATAACTCTCGAGAGTAAATGTATTGAATCTGGCTCCATAGAGTGGCGAAGCCCCTCCCCTTCCGGGGGACCTCCATGGGCGAAAAGTATTAAAAGAGGTGAAAATCACTACAAGTCTGGGCATGTTGAGAGCTGTACATACACACAAGGGGAGTTAGTCGGTTCCGTAAGAGCCAGCATGCGGGACCGGGATTCTGGGATTTTTACGACAAACTGTGACTTTTTTGACATGGAAATTATTATTTAAGATTGACAAACATCATATGTGTAATTCGTGGCACAATTCAAACGGGATCGAAAGATAATCTTGCTCTCTCCATTGACTTCAATACAAACTTTTTCCGAAATAAGGTCCCATGAGTCCCACCGGAAGGGGAGGAACTTCGCCTCTCTGTAGAGAGTGCGCACTTGAGTTTTTCTTAAGCCCCGCCTCCGATCTCCCACTTTCGGCTCAGTCAAATTAATAAATAACTCTGGATTCAGCTTTTAGCACATTTCACAACTTTTAGACCCTAACGATTTAAATAAGGGATATAAAAGTGTTCGTCCTGGGTAAAAGTGTTCGTTCTGAGACACATAAGTTGCAGTACCGCCTTTGGCCACTACGACAATTAGCATCAACGTCCGGTACACTGGGAGCTTATACAGAGCAGACAGGGCTCTGGTTTCAGACAGAGGGTGAAAAGAGGTGCTGCAGCACAGGCAGTATGAGAAAAATAAAGAGCTTTTTGAACATTAACGCATGGAGACATGTCCCAGTAGAGACACAACATACAAATATGAACCTGAAAACGAGCATAATATATCTTCTTTAATTTGTTCTTCGTCTGTGTTCCATCTAAAGGAATGCTACCGCCACCATTTGTCCCTGATCCTAAAGCGGTCTATGCCAAAGATATTGACGATGTGGGCGCCTTCAGCTCGATCAAAGGTGTGGTCCTGGATAAGGAAGACATAGATTTCTACAACGACTTTTCTTCCGGCAACGTCCCGATCCCCTGGCAGGAGGAGATGATCGAGACGGGTGTGTTTGGGGAGATGAACATCTGGGGAGAGAACGGCAAGCTGCCAAATGACCTTGACTCAAGCTTTGTAGAAGCCAAAGGAGGAGGATGTGTTCTGCTTTGAGTTGCAACAGATGGAAATAGAGCAAAGAATATATATTATTATATACCAATTATTATTAAAGTTATTACTATGGCAGACATTGTAGATAGAAGAGCAATCAATAAAAGCTTGAAAAGCAACATGTGTTTTGAGTCTACTTTTTTTTACTATCCACATCAATGTGTTTATTTGACGCTTTTCAACAAATTAGCTGGAGTTAATGAAAAGATTGGGCTCTGGTTTCAGACAGAGGGTGAAAAGAGGTGAACAGGTTGTATGTTTTATGGTTAAAGATTATCTTCATTATCATATAAATATTGTCATTAAGACACCTTTGGCCCATTGCAGATATTCTTGTGTGAATTTGAAACTGCAGTATACAATATATCAGACTGTATTTCCAGCTTGTACATTAAACCACAACTTTTTATATCATACTGTTTATGGAAGTGATGCGGCGGTTCAGTCTATGATGCTCTATTTTAGATAAGGATACTAAAAAGTGTTTAATTTGGTCAAACAATAACTGGAATAATCAGTGCTTGTTTATTTGGATTGGCTCAGTCTCTTGGGTTACTGTTAGGGTCAAATATTAAACCAGGGAGCATCTCAGGTCTAGTTAATCTTAAATTAACACAGAGAGCAATTCAGCAGTAAAAGTGAATGCGAGATTATATTTATTACATACCAATCTCATGAATACTGTATGTCTCACTGGCAAAGGAAGAAGTGAGTCTATCTAAGAATGGCCGTTTTATTTTAACACAATTTTAACTAATTTTTCTGAATGGTTTTGTTATTTTGAACCGTGAACAAATTATTTGTTGTTTAACAAGATTAAGAGGGTGGAAACATGTAAACTATCCTGTTCACATAACAATGCTAACATAGTTTACTATGTGTCACAATCCCAGCCTACACGATCGACAGAGGCTGGGTCTACCGAAGACTCCCATTTAGCAACCTGCTAGAAGCTGTACAGCTCAAATTAGCCTACAAGCTAACTTGTAGGCTAACTAAGTTAAAAAGAATCCAGAAACGTTGCTTTTCCTTTTTTTCGTTGAACAATTCATGAAAGATCACCACCAGCATATTCCTCCGCCTGCTTAACACCCATACTGCTGCTGAGTCCGGGAGATGCCATTGACAAAAACAAAACGTACTTGTGACCAGAGCGCATTGAATCCTGGGATACATTTGACCGCGAAGGGTCAGATGTATAAACAAAATCCGGGAAAAGAAAGCCGCCTTGGGACATCCACCTCTTGGCGGATATCAGTCAACAAATGCACATTAGTTTAGCATGCTAACACTTGCTAATTAGCAGCACTTAATTCAGAGTGAAGCTGAGGGTGATAAGTATATCTATAGTTTTGCAGGATTTAGTTCTTAAACACGTACAGAAACAAATATTAACCTGATGGTGGCGCTAGAGAACAAGTCAGGGGATCACTACAATCATGTGGGTTCATCCTCTGGGCACCATGAATGTCTGTACACAATTTCATGATAAGCGAGAAATGATGTACATAATTTGTGGTGACCCATGGTGGACCACCATCTAAATCATAGATTTTTTAAGATTCTGTATGTGTGTGTGTGTGTGTGTGTGTGTGTGTGTGTGTGTGTGTGTGTGTGTGTGTGTGTGTGTGTGTGTGTGTGTGTGTGTGTGTGTGTGTGTGTGTGTGATCAGGTAATGACACATTGACTTCACCGAAACTCACATAAATCGTAACTGTTCAAAGTCAGGCAAAAGTCTCATTATTTATACAGCTTTAAGCGCTTATTACTGAATCCACACATGAATCATAATCTAAAGTTAGCTCAGTGGAGAAGTGCAGGTTTGTTCAGTTACATAATATTCTGAACTATAAAAGTCATCTTGACTCTTGAAATGATTAATTTCCTGATTAATATCCTCAGTCATTGTTACCGATTTTGTGCAGCATCATGGTACCACAGCCAATCACTGCAGTGTCTGCTGAACACTCACTATTACAAATAAAATCAAGGATTCAAAATGTTGAAGCTGTCACTGCCCGTCCCTGAAACCCTTGTTAGTGTGTGTATGTGTTTGTTTTCCTGCCTGTGTGTCTCTCTCTCTCTCTCTCTCTCTCTCTCTCTCTCTCTCTCTCTCTCTCTCTCTCTCTCTCTCTCTCTCTCTCTCTCTCTCTCTCTTTGCCCTGCCACCTGCTCATCAGCAAGTTTTTGACAATTTTGCCAACAAAGTGTTTACCTGTTTGCATTTTGCCTGCTCTTGCCTCACACTTGTTTTGTGTCTCTCCCAAAACGATCCCAATACCAGCCAGAACTCTCTTGCCCCCCTTTAAAAAAAAAAAAGCCACCACAAAACAACCTCCACTCCCAGCTCAGACTCTCCGGGGCTCAGGGAAATACCAGCAGATAAAGACTTTAAAAAAGCTACACATGTAAACACGTTAATGATTCTTATACATTTTTTCCTCTGAAGAAGATATAAAATGTACTTTACTTTGCTGATCCAAATTTTTTATTTTTTTATTTCACATAATGTTAAAAAAAAGACTAGAAAGTAAAGAATGAAATACAAACATCTCAACATTTGAAAATAAAACAAAACAAAAAAGCAAAATGTATAAATAATGACAGTGAAAGATATGTTGAATATACTGTATGTGTTGAATATACAACTACATACAGTCAACTACAGTCATGTACTAACTTAATGTGTGAAATCAAATCACTGAAAGATTAAAAAACACCCAATAAAAGAATGCATTTTATTTTGGATTTTAACACAAATTTGAGTGAACTTTCCCTTTAGAGCGAGGAGGTCAGCGGGGACACAACTAAATAAATCGTTCAACAGACTGAGGCAAGGGCAAGGAAATAAAATATTAACAGACAAAAGATTATGATTTAAAGCCTGAATGTCTATTCAATATGCTTTAAGTATATGACGGTACTTTGAACTGTGCGTCTGATTACTGGTCGGCTTAACAGAATTCACATTTGATAAGATATAGACTGTAAATGGTGAAGTTTCGCATATATAAATAGCTTGACACAAACAAAGGATAAACAAGGGTGGACTCACTTTTTATAGTCATTTTAGAGAAGTGTACGCATCGCAGGTGCAAAGATTAAATGTACACTTATCAGTACTTATATATAGATTTGTGCACGCTTCCATGTACTTAATGTATAGTGTGGAGTAATTCATTATTAGGGTGTGTTCGAACAGCCTATCTTTTTGAAGGCAGCACTGTAATATTTCAACACAGAATTTCATCTTGCATCTTTTGTCCCGCTGCAGATTTGTTAATGCTTAACCAGTACTGAAATATAAGTTTTCTGCCTTCAATAAATCACCCACCATACCCCAGCTTTCATGTTTGCCCTGCCCTCATATTCAGTATTTTAACAATGGTATTTACTGATAGAACCTCAAATGACCTCCCTAAAAACACAAGCTACCTTTTTTTTAAAGAGGGGGATCCAAGCAAGAGGACAAGATGATGGGAGCAACCCAAAAAAATGACTCCCATAAACCTACAATATCATCACTTACTGAGATCATATCATTTCAAATGTCTCATTGGGTATATTGAAATGTATTATAATGTATTTACAGTAAGACTACAGTTCCTCTTAAAACAATGTAAAATAGTGAATTGCAATGTTTACTGCCTCACATGAAAGCAATCAGTGCCGAATGATCCGCAAATTCAAAGCCGTGATAAACGTCTTACAAGATTGTATCTTACCTCCACCGCCAATCAGAAGAGAGGGAGAAAAAAAACTCAATGTACATTTACATCTCTATAGTAATATTCCAAACATGTGAAATGTCATCCATTTTGGGCGGGAATAGAACACTTATAATGTAGCTTCTACCAACAAATCAATGTTCAAATTAGCCCAGGTTTGAGTACATGAGGGGGGGGGGGGAAACCCTGAGTCAGTTCTCACACTTCCAAAATGTATATCAGATACAGAAGTTGCGAATAGAGCTCCTCGCACAGGCATTATTTATTAGGTTTGCTAATTATTAATAGACAATCACTTTCAAGATGAAAGAGATCATCGAGGTTATAGCACTTTTCCTGGGTTTTGCAGGCTGGATAATGATTTTCATATCACTAGAAGATCAGTATTGGAAAGAATCCTCAACAGAGGGCAGTGTAATTACAACCTCCACAATCTATGAGAACCTCTGGATGTCTTGTGCAAGTGATTCGACGGGAATCTATAACTGCCGGGACTTTCCATCTCTTTTCGCCCTTCCAGGTAAGTGAGAAAATGTTACTTTCTATCAGCTGGATCACAATGTTTTACAAGTCATTTTTGTTGTAACTGCTGTACAAAAAGAAGAAGAAATGTGACTGCTAATAGTAATTAATAATAATGTACTTTAGGTTCTATAGATATTTTTCCCATTATCACTTGTGCTTTCAGTTTTTGATGAATCAGCTTTATGTAATAGCTGACTGTGCATTTTCAAATCTACGTCATACTTAGAGAAAAATTGCTTTATATACTGTACATGATTTTACAATCGTAGCACAACTTTCCTTTGTTAAAAAATGTATATAAACTATACATACAGAATCAGAAAGCCCTACTTCAGAGAAATGTAGATTATTAACATATATAATGCTATACTGGTGGTGTTATCTACAACAGCAGCTGCATAATACTAATACATAATTAGCTCTGTGAAGTTTGTGGAGCTTGAATTGTATATATTTTTTTAGGTTGAATAAGAGGAATTGACATCCACTTAGCAATATGGATTGTACTTGATTACATGTATATTATTGCATGAACACATTTTCAATAATACAAAATAACAGTTTAAAAGGGCTATAAGGATATCCTTACATTGTACAAGAGCGTACCAATGAGTATGACCATATTAAGTGGTAATTGCATATTTTATTTAGTAAGCAGTTTAGTCAGGCTGTTGTAATTTCTTGTGCAATTGTACTTCATTCTTTTTGGGACTGTGTACTGCTATAAATATAATGTCATCTTGTACAAAACCACCTAAAATATGTCTTTAGAAATGTCCATGAAGTCGACTTTGACTTAAAACAGTAAAAACAAATGGTTCTTGTGTTGAGTTTTAATTCATTTGAAATACAGTCAAGTCTTTTCTTTTGCTTGTGTGGCCTAAAGACTGCAGAGGCACTTCATCACTATGATGATAAAGGCCTGATAGCGGACAAACAACGCTTCATTTGTTAACTAATAACTCACGTCTCCTGGGCTCAGTTGTCAGAGAAGCAAACAGGTTTATCAGCTGGGGAACATCTGGTTCTGGGTGTGTGGTGAGCAGAGGTGGGAAGTAGTGGAGTACAAATAAATCAGTACTTTACTCCACTACTTATTTTTCTGACGACTCTTTACTTTTACTTCTTACATTTTGAATACAAATACCTGTACTTTCTACTTCTTACATTTTCCAAACAGGCTGGTTACTTTAGTTTGAATGTGTGTTTGGTGGCGTGATCATTATTATTTAGAGCCATTGCGTGCCTATTGATTTGAACACGATCCGTGTATCCATCATTTCCTGGTCTTCTCTAAAGAAGAGGGACCAATGACAACGTTGTCGTTGTTCAGCATGGAAACATTCATTAGCTAACAATGACATTATTGTTCTATTAATATAAAGGGAGGTCAGGTACTCTTTAAAACAGCTGCTAGTTATGGGTACTTTTTACTTTTACATTAGATTACATTGCATTTAGCTGATGCTTTTATCCAAAGCGACTTACAATAAGTGCATTCGACCAAGAAGATACAAACTTGAAGAAAACCGAATCATATAAGTACATCAGGTTTCATAGAGCCAAACCATTTCAAGTGCTACTCAACTGGCTTTAGATAAGCCAGTCCTTTGTTACTATATAAGTGCTTTGTTAGTCATTTTATCGCTCGAAGTGGAGTCGAAAGAGATGAGTTTTGTGTCTGCGCCGGAAGATGTGTAAGCTTTCTGCTGTCCTGATGTCAATGGGGAGCTCATTCCACCATTTTGGAGCCAGGATAGCAAACCGACGTGTTTTTGCTGATGGGAACTTGGGTCCCCCTCGCAGTGAGGGTGCAGCGAGCCGTTTGGCTGATGCAGAGCGGAGTGCACGTGCTGGGGTGTATGGTTTAACCATGTCCTGGATGTAGGAAGGGCCAGATCCATTCACAGCATGGTACGCTAGTACATTTCAAAGCCCATACTTCTTTACTTTTACTTGAGTAACGAAGTTTAGTCAGTACTTCTGCTTTTACCAGAGTATTTTTAAACACGAGTATCTGTACTTCTACTTGAGTAAAGGATGTGTGTACTTTTGCACCTTCACCCTCCAACACCACTCACCTACCCATCATCCCTCGGACACAGGGTAACATGAGGAGCCAAAACGTGACTCGAATCCCATCAATAACATTTTGAAATTATTGACAGAGTATTCAAAGGAAACTTCAAAAGGTGACAAATAGCTGAGAGTCTACAGACGTTATTAAGCGCAGGTTTAAAGGTTGGTGAAACTTGACTAGGGTAAACATTTGGAGTCTTTGAATAGCTTCAATAGAGCTGAGAATGAAAGGGGAAATCATAAGTGGTCTATTTGGGATGAATCATTAATTTGTGGCTTTCTGTATCATCTGGGTCGGTGGGAATGGGTCTGGCACTTTGGGACTTTGGGGCCGACAAATCCACACGCTTGCGCAGGAAGATATCTGGAAGTCAACGTTTTTATTATTTTCTCTTATTTGGGATAACTCTACATTGGTCGGATAAAGGAAACTAGCGAGTATGAATGCCATAGTTGAAGCTTTGGCCTTCCTCCTGGGGTTTCTGGCCTGGCTGATGGTTGGGATCGCACTTCCAAACCGATACTGGAAGGTTTCTTCAGTGGATGGTAATGTTATCACTACATCAACCATCTATGAAAACCTATGGATGTCCTGTGCAACTGACTCTACGGGAGTTCACAACTGCAGGGATTTTCCATCTTTGCTCGCACTAAATGGTACGTGGCCAACAAATAAATAGCTTTATTAGCGTCTATTAGTACTTATCTGGCTTTAATGCTAATCCACCCACTCAAGGAGTCAGGATTCTGAATCAGGATTGCCACGTAGCTAATGAGCAATACCTTACTCATAAAGCAATATACAAGTTGTGTGGGGAGAAGTGGCTTTTGTAACAGGTTATGTCAGATTAAACACAGAGTTGCTCTTGACATGTTGAATCTTATACCACTGGATCAAACTCACCAGTAGAGAAACAGCTGTCCTTACTTTCCTTTGTTTTCATAGACAGGATTGTAGTGTACCTTTAGGTGAGTTCTACTGTACTGGCCATAATCTGTAGTAAAAATGGGTTTTATAAGATATAATAAAATGAGAGGGAAGATAAGCAAGCACAGCCACCGTGAACCCGCACTAATAGACTCATAAATTAATAAAAGCTTTGTGAATCTGTTGGACACTGTTAACTAATGCCACCAGGAAAGGCATTTAGCAAAGTGATACAAGAGACCAGGGATGTTTAGCACATGAAACATGAAACTGGAAGCCTAGTCGAGCCCTGAAGTAAACATCTTTCATCCCAATACATGCTTTTCCAATCACACATACTTCTGTTTGTTGGAATTAAGTTTTCAAAAAGTTGCTGTCATGACTCAGACCTGTGTGGCTCCCCTTCAAGGAAGCAAGAATCAACTCACTGAAACTAAAGAGGCATTAACATCTACAAACATATTCCATCATTTGGAATACGATGGATGTTTGGATGGATTGAAGAACATGTGTTTGTTGAGATGTATTTTGTGTAGTCTTAGCCCTCTCATTATGTTTGTTAGAGGGTTCTGCATGTGCTCAAAGGACCAAGGTAACCATTAGTGAGCCACTAGGGGGCTCGCGACAAGTATTGTTGTATCAATAAACGTCATTACTGTGTCTACAACTTGAGTTTTTAACACAATAGGAAACAATTGTGATGTTGATACAAGTCCACATTATGGTATTTTCTTTATGTTTGCACACAGGGTACATTCAGGCCTCCCGGGCGCTCATGATCGCTGCCATCGTGTTCGGGACATTTGGCCTCGTGGCAACTCTCGTAGGAATGAAGTGCTCAAAGATAGGAGGAGAAAACTACGTCCTGAAGGGGAGGATCGCAGCCATTGGAGGAGTCTTCTTTTTATTACAGGGTAAAGACTTATGGATGGATGTAATGTTTGTTTGTTTGTAGCCTTTATTTAACCAGGTTAAAAAATCCCATTGAGATCAACGATCTCTTTTTCAAGGGAGACCTGCGGTACATTAGTTACACATAAAAACAACAGAAAACAAAAGGACATCACAACATAATTACAGGGGTATACATTAGCAACCTATTTACAGTGACAGGTATCCAATAACATTTCATCCAGCCGTGCTTTAAAATGATGCAAGGGAATCAAATTGCTCAGTTTCAATGATTTTTGCATGGTGTTCCAAGCTAGAGGAGCAGCGCACATAAAAGCTTTAGTACCTAAAACAGTCCTAGCACTTGGCACATGTAATAAGAACACATCCTGGGATCTCAGGCAATAGCTACTTGCCACTCTCCGTGAGATCAAAGAGCATATATAAGTCCGTAGTTTACCCAGCATGGCTTTATAGATGAATATGTACCAATGACTGAGCCTCCGACCAGTAAGTGAAGGCAGACGCAATGGCGATGCAACCAAGCAAACTAAAACAATGTGGTCAGAAATGTCTTGAAATGTATTTGGGTAATGAAGAAAGGTCCCTGCGTAGTACTTTGAATTGACTGAGGAAAATAAAAAGCCCTCAGGAGGACACACAGACACAAAAACACCCAGAAAGATCAATCACTTCTGGCACCCAAATCTCTGTGTACAGAAGACAAGCTATCAGTAAGTGGCTCACCAGTTCAAAATGTTATCCAAACCTGCACAAAAGGCTGCCAGTAACAAAGGTATTTGGATTGTAAGAATAAGTCCTGCTATGTTAAGTACAAAAATAAATGCAGCGAGCGGACACTGGTAATCTCAGAGTACTTTGTGTCCCAAGCAAAAAACTCTTGCAATTAGTCAAGTTGAAGTATTTTGTATAGTGGATATACAGCTGACATCTACCATTGCAGGTTTCTTAATAATTGTATAATATTGGATGGAATGGGTTAATGCTTTTTAAGATAAGATGGGAAATAGTCCTCACATCCTGACCGCAATCAATGAATCAAGTACTCAAAGACAAAATAAATGTTAACATTTCATTATGATCATTTTGAGTGGCTTCAGAGGGAGGTGCTGACAGTGGGGTCAATTTAGCAACTTCCTTGTTAGATAACGCTGACTATTGCAGGTGGTGCTGCTACCTATTTCATCTGAAAGACTTAGAAAGATTGAGCTTGGTTTTTCAGTTTCATACTTCAAGAAATCTAGCTTACATTTGCTGGCTCTCCAATTGTATCCACCATTGCATGAATTGGGACTGATATTCCCAACATGGCTTTCATTTTTTACTCAAATCGAATCTTAAAATGACTCAAGCACTAAAAAAGGTTGTTCATTTTATCGTAGCGGTGTGCTTTGTTTTCATCAAGAATACATCCCGCTTGTCTAAAGTAAACAATGTTTTGTGTTTTGTTTTGTGAAGGGATTTGCACCATGATTGCCATTTCTTGGTACGCAGCCAACATCACGCAGCAGTTCTTTGATCAGTTTTATCCAGGGACAAAGTGAGTAAATACATTCTGCATCACTATGTTGTGAACTGTGGCTCAATATCTGCTGTTTTCTAATGTTTTCACTCTTATTGTGTCACAGGTATGAGATTGGAGAGGGCCTGTATATCGGCTGGTCTTCAGGCACACTTGCCATTTGTGGAGGAGCATGCCTGTTGTGTGCTTGCAAAGTCAACGATCCCAACGACAAAATGTGAGTATGTGTTGAGCAAACTTTTGGTATTGAGTGTGTATAGTAGTATTCGAAAAATATCACTCGTCACTGGCTTGAGCTTCAATATCAGGATCCATGTATTTATGATCCTCTCCAGAATGGAAGTAGTCATCACATACAGAGCATCAACTAGTTCCTGAACAGTGTCCTTCACATGCTGATATACAAGAGAGGGAGTTACACAGTCACAAGATGGAGGAATATAAAGCAGTATTCAATGTTTACTTCAGATTAGCTCCACGTCAGAAATGATCATGCTTGTCATATGTCTATCTCCATAGAGGCTGAATCATCATGTTAATCACATAGCTATCATATGCCTAAAACAGTCCTGATGCTCTTCTAGGTAATCATACATCCTGTCATGTACTCAGCTACAGTTGGGATACCTTTGTTATCATGTGGACTCTGATATTGGAAGAGTACATTCAGTATATTCCCAACAAGTAGAAATGGTGCATAGTACTGAAACTTGTCTTGTGTTTCAGACAATATCCATACCAACCATCCTCCAGAGGACACGTGCTGTCGGCTGGGGCGATGACTCAGTCTGCCCGCAGCAACTATGGAAGAAATGCTTATGTCTGAGAGATGACTTGACCAATTCACCAGACCATGACAGTGGAAAACACTTTTGATAAGACTCAAGATTTCATATAACTGTAAAAGGTTAGTTGAAAGCAATAATATTAAGTTTAAATGAAAAAATATTAGATTAAACTTAATATTATTCCTTTCAACTAACCTAATACAGTTGTGTGAAATGTGTTGATGTAATACATTTAATTCAAGTCAACATTTAAGTCTTGTCAGTGATCATAATCAATGTTTAGGAGGTGAAGATACGTTTTCTTGATTTGATTTTGTTTTATCCAAACCTTTTAAAGCTACATTTTGCTGTACCTGAATTGTACTATCCAGCTTTATTATAATGATTGCTGGATCAATTGGTCATATGCTGATAAATATACCATGACAAATTGGATTGTCTGACATTAGGGCATGTATACTACGTCATCTTACTCAGGTTTACAGATTATATTGTTTTTAAACTCCTATTTATCACTTTTTAGTAGGACTATGGATAAACTCAAGTTAGTAATCAATGGACCACCTTTAACTGTTTTACAATTGTGTAGTCAGTTAGGGTATAAAGTATTATCCTTTGTAATGTATCCTCAAATCTGTCTCAGGTTTTCTGGTCAATCATTTGCCTCTAAAAACACAGACAGCTCAAAAAGCTCTCCTCTCAGGTAAACTCTGGTGGATGTTTCCAATCACACAATGTGATTTTATTTTGAATCCCACCTCTGAACCAGAACATTTGAGAAACACAAATGTAAATGACTTTTTGTAAAAGAAAAATGAGGACGTGTATGTTTTTAAAATGTAATGTCATACATTGGGTAATTCTGCATTTGTTACTGTGGATTTTAAGTATGTTTTATAGTTTTATACACAAATATTTCTAGTAACTGATTGCATAAAACCATATAAAATGTTCCTTGGAGATCATGATTTCCAACATATTTCATGAAAAGATAGTTTAAACAATTAAACTAGTTCATGTGTTTTGGGTTACAAAGCTTGTTTGCAATCGTCTCCTTTGACTAAAAAAAGAATACGGTTAATATTGTAGTCATGACACATATTAAAGGTAGGGTAGGTAAGAATGGAGAAACCAGCTCGAGTGCGCTAGAATTTGAAAGTACACAACCGGAAAAAAACTGCCTCTTCCTTCAGACTTCCTTACAGAGCCCCTCCTCCAACACACACGAACGCGCACATGACCAATGAGGGCACGAGATAAGTTTGTGCACAGATGGAAGGCTGACAGGCAGGTAGGCCATCCAGTTATTTTAGCCGGGCCGGCTAAAATGATTGGTCGTGCTTTTTACAGTACTACGGCTTCCACAGATGACATTTCTTTATGGATTTTTTGTCAAAGCACTTTAAGATATTCATTGCTATCGGGATGTTAAGAGCATTCCATGGAATATAACAAAAAGTGTATCTCGAGCCGGTTTCTCAAACTTACCTACCCCACCTTTAAGCCTTGAAATTATACAGTAAATAATACATATTTTTCCATATTCAGTTCGTTAAATATGCCACCTACTGGAGGGACTTGGTGTTACATCTATGATTGGATTTAGGTGAAATACCAATGTTGTTGGGAAACTGATCACAATCTTTAACCATCATCACCGACACGAAATAAAGTAGGAAATAAACTCAGGACTAGATCACTGTCTAAATATTCTTTTTACACTTTCACAAATATTGATATGAAAGTTGCAAACATTTTTTGGGTATAATGAAATTACAAAGAAAATGAGCACTCATCACTGAAAGGTGACAAAGCTTAACCATAACTGTGAAATGAAGGAAGGTCAGAGGTGGTTTGATTAAAAGTATATAGATTACATGCAGGTTTTTGTAAATATGAAACATGATTGTTTGATTTTAAGGATTTAAACATATTTAGGCGATAATAATAATGTAAATGCATACAAACATTGTTCTTCACTGAAAGGAGACAAAGATTATCCATGACTGCAAAAGGAATGAGGGTCAAAGGTACTTTATTAAAAAGATGAGTATATAAAATGATAGATTTCATGTAGGTCACTGTAAATAAGAAACATAATTTTTTTCATGATTGTTAAACCAGGAGCATGCCAGGTTTAGTGAAGCTTAATTTGGCACTGTTTCAATACCAGTGACATGTTTTCAGAGCAAGATACATGTTTTCCTCGGCAGACATTTAATCTTTTGGAGCCTCATTGGCTAAATTGTCCAGGTTTTGTCCGTCAAAGCGTATACAGTGCCTTCCTTCGCTGTCTGTGAGGTCCTGAGCGCCTTTAGCAGCGTAGAAGTCTCTGGCCGGGGTATTCCAGTCCAGCACTGATAACTGCAGCCGCACACACTGCTTCTCCTTCCCCACCTGAGAAACAGAACAGCCATCTTCTTCTTCATCACACTGGACATTATCTTTTCGAATGCGCTTTAGAGGATAATAAACATCCTTGGTGTGCCCTATTGGCTCAACTTGCAGAACGTGTGTCCAATGTATGGGAGTCTTTACCGCATGTCGTCCCCTCCCTCTCTCTCCTTCCTGTCAATGTTTAGCTGTACTAGTCATGACAAAATGCATCTTTAAAGAAAGCACATTCTTACCTTAGCGACTTTGCACAGTAAACCCTTTCCAAATCCATTTCCTGTAAAGGTAAATCAATACAAAACATTTACAAAATGAATGAAACAGATATTGCAAGACCAAAGCAGTACATAAAACGTGTACTGCTTTGTACTTGAAAGTAGCCTTGAAAGTATTCGTGAGAACTTTGAAGGCTTTCTTGAAAAGTACTTAAGACATAGTTTACCTCTGAATTCTGGCATCACGTACAGGTCCCCCAAAAACACTGTCGGCCCCTTCCATGTACTGTAAGTGTAAAAGTAAAGGGCAAATCCAACTACTGTGAATCCTACATGGACAAAAAGGAACAAGCACTTCAAAGACAAGCAGAAAGAGTTACAGAAACATTGAAATGGCCACAAATAAAGAGGATTGTTTTCTTGTTTTGCATTTTTTTTAAATCATTATTGACCTTTTATTATCTGTGCTAGATGCCTATAAGTTTGGAGCATGCTGACAGGGGGAGATAACCATGGCTTTGATCAACACTTTACCATCTTTAGATTTATTCTCCTCAGGCACTTCTGCAACGAGGCATTCAAAGAAAGGATTCTGGCAGAAACCGTCCCGCTCCAGTTCTAAAGTAAACAAACAAACAAACAGATTAAGCACCTAAAAGCAACATTTTACATTATAAATAATATGAATGATCTGCAACCAAGTGACACATCATAAAACAAGATTTGAAACATTTCAAAATTAATTCTCAACCTTTTTTTTTGTTGCAACTCTGCTCTTATAAGCTAAGATAATAACGCTGCTACAAAATAGTCCATTAGACAAGAGACTAAGAAATTATTTGACTTTAGCACAACCAACTACCGCACATCTTTAAATTGGAAGGTTTCATGCAGACTAAGTTGTTAACTCATAAACATATTGAATGCATTTCCTACTTCAGTATGTGTACTTTTACTTAAGTAAACTAGTAATTCTTCGAACATCGGTAGACATCTATGTACAGTCAATAGTACAAATACTGCTCTACAATAGTGGTCAAAAACTCAACCCTGGTACCTTTGTATTGTACACATCATAGTCACACTTTGTACTGTCTGGCTGATGTGCTTATATTCATCGCTGCTTTCTAAACAGACCCTCAATTACTTACAACTCAACTTTAAACAGTTATAAAAGGGAGACAGCCTTTTGTTAGGAGTAACTCATACAGAAACTCAGCTTCCAATGTTGGAAAAGTGGAAACAAATCAGTGCCATGCAATCTGCCTCCTGATCCTGAAGATCCAAACTCACTGTAATACAGTTACTGATTAATGCAAACCTGTTTATCTTAGTCTCGTTGCAAAGTCTTGCATTTCCTATTTCAGGCTATAATAACTAACGGACACTGTAGCCTACACTTTAGACAGTGGTGGAAAAAGTATTCAGACACTTGACTTGAGTAAAAGTAATAATACCACACTATTATCATACTCAATTTTAAATAAAAGTACTGCATCGAGAATGTACCTTAAATAAAAGTATGTAGGTACGATTAGAAAAATGTACTAGGAGTAAAAGATCTTGCAGGAAAAACTCTTAATTATTTCAAAGCAAAATTGCTGCCAATCATTTTCTGGTACCACTTGTGGTTCTTGTGAACTTAAAAATAATGTTAGATGGTTTAATCTATACCAAAAAAAGCATTGTGTGTCAATATCTTTATTTATAAAGTTACTAGTAAATACATCTGTAAAATAGTTGTAGTGGCCAAAATGTAGTAGGCTACAGTAGAAGTAAAAAATGAAAATACTCCAGTTAAGTACAAGTACCCTCAAATGTGTACTTAAGTGCAGTACTTGAGTAAATGTACTTAGTTACTTTCCACCACTGCACTTTAGACAATGTCACACTTCAACATGCAAACCCAGTAGCACTCATAATACAGGGATGCAAACTCATCAGGTATGAAAAAGGTGACAAGGATCCGACCCCCCCGACCCCACGGAATATCGGCTTTAAAATGAGGAATAACAGAGGATTTTAGCAGTCAGAACAACTAAAGCAGTTAATAATAACAGAAACGCCAAAGAGTCACATCTAATAGAAATGTATAAAAGCATTTATTTGAATTGTGTAGCAGTCAGTTTATAATTTTGGCAGCACTATTGAGCATTTTGAACATGTATTTTCATGCCTCTGTGCAAGGCTTAGTCTTTCTATCTGTATAGCCAGTGGTGTAAAGTAACTAAGTTCATAAACTCAACAAGTACTATACTTGGGTACAATTTTGAGATACTTGTACTTTATTTAAGTATTTCAATGTGTTGCTACTTTGTTCTTCTACTCCACTACAGTTCAGAGGTAAATGGTGTACTTCTACTCCACTACATGTATTTAATAGCTTTAGTTACTTTACAGATGTGGATGAATGATGTGAAATATAATCAAGTGTTAAATCAGACTTTAGTTCCACCTGGGGGGTATACTACGAATCAAGATTTTCGTTTAGCAAGCTAACTTCAGGGGTTTCCGGTCCTACGAAACTGGTTCACTTTTTAGCGGGCTAGATAACTTATTCTGAACGGCTATCCTCCGGAGCAGTATAGGTTCCAGGATAAAAGCACTGCCTGCTGACCAATCAGAGCTCAGTGTGCGGAGTTTAAAGCGATCAATTCATATGACAGGAGGAGAAAGGAAATACAGTTTAAACTGCCGTTGCAGGAAAGACGGCCGACCAAAATCACCGACTGTGTGAACGTGAAAATTAATAGAATATCACCTCCCATCTTCAGAGCAATCTGACTATTATAACATTAGCGTTAAGAAAGCTTACTTAAATATCTGCCACGACATAAGTAACCGGATCAAAGTAACATTACGTAGCCTACAGTCCGCTGCACTGTGAGTGCAGACGGCGATGTGTCCCATTATCATTCATATCACATGATATCACATCATAATGTATCATATATTTCCTTATCTGAGTCAGCTTCTTGAGCCGTATCTGGCCGTGCAACACTCACAGTGTCACATACTGTATGCAGAAGTATTATTTTAAGCAACACATTAAGTTGACGAAACACTCGAGTCAAATGTAATTAAAGTCAAATCCACTCGTGTCTTAGACGGGGCAGCTGATATCATAAAACTGTTAATGAACGTATTCAAACACTTTTTCTTTTACCAGCAGTATTCACCTTGCAGCTGCAACTATGTGGCTTTTATCCTGGATAAAGTGTTTAAGTCATGGATGTTTAAAGTTTAACGTCTTCATATTTGTCTAATATTAGTTGACTTTTCATTCAGGAAATATATGACGCGCTGCGCTGTCAGTACACGGCTTGTCCATGTTTGTGATTGGTCGAACGCTCCAAATACAACCCCTTTTATGTGAACGCGCACCTAACTAGATAGGACACGGCTGGCTTGAGCGATCGAGTTCATAGCCAGCGACGTAGGACCGTTTAGCGAGAGCGTTTTTTTTTTTGGATTTAGTCAACCGGATAACTCAAAACATATCCAGGATATGTTGAACTAGATTCGTAGTATACCCCCCTGGAGTAAATTCACAAGCTACCCTGCAGTATACAAAGTCATTCAAACTAGCTGCACCTTTACCAGCTTTGAGAACACTTTCATGATCAATCATTATAAAACATATCATATATATTATTCTGAAATGGACCAATCTGCACAACGACTACTTTTACTGTCGCTACTTTAACTATATTTTGATGAGAATACTTTTCTACTTTTACTTGAAGAACATTTTGAATGCAGGACTTCTACTTTTACTCAAGTACAAGACCTGAGTACTTCTACTTTTACTCAAGTACAAGACCTGAGTACTTCTACTTTTACTCAAGTACAAGATCTGAGTACTTCTACTTTTACGAACAAGACCTGAGTACTTCTACTTTTACTCTAGTACAAGATCTGAGTACTTCTACTTTTACTCTAGTACAAGGTCTGAGTGCTTCTACTTTTACTCAAGTACAAGATATATACTTATACCACCTCCGTTTATAGCCTATGAAAAAACTATTTGAAAACGAAGGCGAAAGCTAACGTTAGCAGATAGTGACAAGTATGCTAGTTAGCTAGCTCAGCGATAATATTGCGACAGGAACACTTTTCAGTGCACATCACGCTCTGCCGCTCCAACAGGGAGCTCTGCTCGGAACACCTGAACGGCCCGTTCTAACAGCTGTTCACCAGCGGTCCAGTCTGTGCCACAGTGACTCCGGACCGCACAGTTAATATTAACGAACGCATCCATAGGTAATGTAGCTGCTGAAGCTAGACCCTCATCCCGGAGCAGCAGAGCCTTATTATACATCCATGAGCAGAGCCGACAGGCAGGAAGACTCGAGCACACAGCTCGCGCTTCATTATAATATATAAAAAAAGAACACCATGCGTGTCATGATGGCACATAACAGCTCGCGGCCGCAGATTACTCCGGGTCCCAGACCCCCCCCATACCCCAAAAATATTTGTATTGCAGATCTACATGAATCACACAAACTACCTATTTTGGATTCAAAACGGCGAATTTCGCTGAAAGGTGACAAGTTTGCATCCCTGAATAATAACTGATATGCTGTAGTGATGTGTCGGTCGCGAACGAGCCGATTCTTTTGAACGGCTGTTTGGTACGAACGAGGGGAACCGAGTCCTACTTGGTGAGAGCCGTTCTTGTTATCGTTCAATCGTTGGTCCGCACTCACTGCCTGCCAAAATCCACTCGCCTTTTAAAAAGCTTGATTTTGTTCCCCAAACGTATTCTGTGAAGACCCGCCCCTACTCTGTTTGGTAGGTTTCAGCACGAGGAGTGAGATGGGGTGGGTCTTAACGGAATACGCGAGAGAGAGAAGTCATAACAAGTGGTACAGGACAGGTAGACAACGTGTTTTTCGGATGGAAAATGAGCCAAACGCGAAAACGCAGCAGCATTTGGATTCACTTCAACCAAAACCCAGGCAGTGATAAAGCGCACCATTTGTAAAGGCAAAATATCCTTTAAAGCAGGATCAACAAATAATCTCCATCGCCACTTAAAAACACAGTATCTAATATTAAGAGTTGCATGAATTTCATTCAAGGCAAGGCAACTTTATTTACTTAAAGGGCCCATGTCATGGCCATTTCCACTGATCATAATTACATTGTTGAGGTATACTAAAATAGATTTATACTGTGCAATTTTCCAAACTCACATTGGTTTCGCATACAGCATCTCTGTCAAGCATGTGTATTCAGCAGTATTCACTTTCTCCACTAAACGACTCGTTGGAGCTCTTGCCCCCCCCTCCCTGTGAGCCTAGTGTGCTCCGATTGGTCAGCTCGGCCACGCGTTCTGATTAGTCAACCACCAGAGAGGCTGCGCCCATGTCAGTGCTTTTCCCGGCTGCTCTCAGCGTAACATCAGTCTTATCATGGCGTCGGTACGGAACTGTTGTTATAGAAGAGTGTGACGGCCCCAGGGCCTTTGTCTTACGATGGGGTGGAGCTGAAGAGGCTAATCAGCACGATCACGGACACCTCCGGACACGACGGCCCCAGTCTCTCTCCAAAGCGGCTGCAGGAAGACTAACTCTGCGATCCTCTCAACCACCTATCTCTGCATTTACCACAATAAATGTGCTGTGGTTTTGTAAACTCGTGTATGTCTCCTTGTCTTTCCGTTGTGGCCTACGAGCCACTCTCATAACAAAGAGTAAGTTATTTTTACCCGTTATAAACTACTACTGTTTGATGAGAAATCAAATCATGGTTTGCTATATATGAATTCAGGGAAGAAAGGATAGGCCTACTAAGTATTTCCATTAAACTTTATTTTTAGAAATGTACAAAATGAACATAAATATACATATATACACACGGTATATTCCTCCTCCTCGCATCTTGCCTGCGCACAGTCGGTGCGGTGCCTTTTAGCACGAGGCCTCAGTAGAAGTCCCTTCCCCGTCATGGATTGTCCGCCAGGATCTGGCTGGACGAAATCAAATGCAAATCACAAAATATTAGAGAAACTTAGTTGTTTTAGATTCGTTAGTAGTAGTTGTGTAATGAACAGCTTGCCTGCTAATATGCTAACCTAGCTTTGTTTACCTTGGTAGCTAACACGATATGAACGTTAGCTTGGAGGAAAGGCAACTATAATGCAGTGTAATAAAACTACTATGAACAAAAGCTAGTGGTTCATATTAGGCTAGCAATAACGTGTTTATAATTGCAATCGTATACGGGTATTCTGCTACCATACAATGTAACTTGCATGAATACATTGTTTTGCGCTAGCATACAGCTAGCCTCGTTAGCTACATGCAGTATATGTACGGTCACAATGTACGGTAAACCGGAGTATACTGTATGAGTATTCCGTGTGTGTGACTGCAGACATTCTCCTGCCATGACAAACATGTAAGGCCATCTGCTGACATTGTAGTTGATATATTTAAACGCTAGCAACGTAGCATCACAAAAATGTTTTTCCGACCAAAACTAGCTCGAGCTCCGTGTGTTAGATCGCTACGCCAGCTATAATGTAATTACGTTTCGCGACTGACCGCACGGCAAATCACCCGGAGTATACTGTCAATAGGTATTTTGTGTGTGAATGCAGACATTCTCCTGCTATGAGATACATGTATGCAAGGCCATCTGCTGATATTAGAGTTGATATATGGAAACTCTAGCAACTTAGTTAGCACTGTGTCAATGGCTTAGCAGTCCAACACAGTGTTAAAAACCAAGCTAATTGCTGCTATTTTGAAAAGTGATATTGAATGTTAAAACTAGAAGTTTAAGCACAAAGGAAAACTTATGTTGAAGACCAACCGAAGTATTTTTTGTATTTTTGATGACTGTTATTTGAACCATTCCATTTTGATAGTATGTTTTTTTATATGAGTTATGTACTATGCAAAGTTCAGATGAAGAACTCATTGATTTCAGTATTGTGTTCACACCTTAAAAGGTGTGAAAGGAAGGATTGTTAGAAATTAAAATCAATGTTTTATGGCATAATTTAGTCTAAAACATACAGTCAGTTTAAAAGCAGTCTTATGAAGAACTCATTGATTCCAGTATTGTGTTCACACCTTAAAAGGTGTGAAAGGAGGGATTGTTAGAAATTAAAATCAATGTTGATGTGGCGTAATTTGAATGAAATACACTATTTCATTTAAATCTGTTTTATTCTGAAAACCGAAGATTCACATGTGACTTCCGGTTTTTCCGCTGGTGAATTTCGTCATTTCCGGTTAGCATTAGCTTGTGGCGAAATGCTACGTTTTCAAACCGTGAATTGAAGGTGAAATAACGTGATGTTGTACACTAAAACACCCTGAGTTTAACACTCATTTATTGACGCTGGAATTAGGTTTATTAGGGAATGTTTAGATGACCACAGACATCAGAGTGATGTAATTTAGCAGCAGAAACCGGCAGGATTTGCATTGGACACGCCCCCGTCGACGCCGGCCAATAGGAGAAGACTACAGGTCTTACCCGGGAGACCCAAGAAGGATCGCTCTCTCTCCTTGCCCGCAGCTGACCCGGACGGACGGGACCAAAACAGCTGGGAGGAGCAAACCACCAACGAGCACATTCCTTTTGTAAACCACCGCATCTTTTGTGTAATTAAATGCTGTTAACTTGTATAAGCTTGCCTTGACTCTTTTCAGTCTCTCCTGCTCTCGGGGTTCAAGAATAACTAACAACAGTTTACACATTTAAACAGTCTTGTTTGATAAATACACAAATAACAATGCAAACTTACAGGTTGTATACCCAGATCTTCCCCTGCTCCAAACGGTCCAAACAAGCTGTGCATATCCGGCCTCAAACTGGGCAATGTTTTGGAAGCTTTCGTCTGTGAAATGCCGGTTCTTCGAACCTCTGGAGGAGGAACACGCCGCTGCTGGTGTGGCCATAGCTCTTCGGGATTGGTCCATTTCGTTCCGGGTACCGCATGACATCAGGCGGTACCCGGAAGAATCAAATGGGGAGTGACGTATCTCCAACGAGGCGTTTTGGGGAGGTATTTTCTGTGTTAGAGTTTTACTCGCTACAGGGTGTACTTTGAGGGTTTTGACTCTGCACACCGTTTACATGCATAAAAACCTTCATAACACACAAGGGGACGGGTAATAACCGGAAAAGCATGACATGGGAGCTTTAACACATACAGAGGGTAAATTCAAAGTACATTCACTGACATGATGACATGGATATGGCGCCACCTTGTGTCATGTTTACAATGCCGATTATTGACATTAGGTCTGGCAATACAGTCAATCATTATCCTGGTGATTATTTTGCAGATAAACCTAGTAACCTTAAAAAAACGGCTCTTTTGAACGGCTCTTTGAAAGGAACGGAGCCATAAGATCCGGCTCCCTTCAAAGAGCCATAATTCCCATCACTAATATGCTGGTACTATAGAGCAGGGCTTCTCAAACTCCGGACCAAGATCCGGATCCGGACCGAACTGCAAATCAATCCGGACCGAACCCTGTGTCCCATTATAACATTTTAAAAAAAAAATTATAAAAAAAAAGAATTCTGATTCGGATAAATTAATGTACATCATCATGTACGCGCGTCTTGTGTCTGACGCGTTGTGAGAATGAACGTGCATATATATTTACTTGTGTGTGCGAGCGTGACACGCATAGCAGACCGCAAGTTAACCGCAAGTTTACCTTGACTTTCTAATGCAGGGCTTCTCAAACTCCGGACCAAGGTCCGGATCCGGACCGAACTGCAAATCAATCCGGACCGAACCCTGTGTCCCATTATAAAATAAAAAATAAAAAATTATAAAAAAAATAAATAAAAAAAAATGTCTGATTCTGATAAATTAATGTACATCATCATGTACGTGCGTCTTGTGTCTGACGCGTTGTGAGAATGAACGTGCATATATATTTACTTGTGTGTGCGAGCGTGACACGCATAGCAGACCGCAAGTTAACCGCAAGTTTACCTTGACTTTCTAATGCTTCTAATGCCTTTTTTGCCGAGGTTCAAAGCATTGACTACAGACAAACAGTGCCATTTCTCCCACTAGTTCAAGCCACCATACTGTATGTATGTATTGAATGTGTGTGTGTATACAGGGGCGCCGTTTACCGACAGGCAAGGCAGGCAAGTGCTTGGACCAGAAGGGGTCCCCCAAAGGTTCAAGGTTCTTTATTGTCAATCTGACATAGCTACAGAGTAATTATGTAGTTGAAAATCTTATGTCACAGGCTTCTCCAACAATGCAACATAATAACATAATAACAATAAGAGCAAGAGCAATACAAAAAGAATAATAGTTATAAAATAAAATAAAATAAAGTGATGATGTGGAATAGTGTAGTACGAGTCTATATACAAGTTAAGAAGGTAGATTAAGAAGGTCCACAGCAACGACAACATGAAACACCCTTTAATGAACTGCAATGACATGTCGGGGGGGAAGGGGGGGGGGGGGGGGGGGACTTTACTGGCATTGATCCGGACCAGTGACCTTGTATAAAGTTCACAACTGGACCTTTAATAAAAAAGTTTGAGTACCCCTGCTATAGAGCTCTTTCACAGACATTGATATCCAGAGTAGGAAAAACACAGCATTTGTTTTAATTATCGATGCCATCATTTGCAGTGTTTGTCCAATACATTATTAGGAGCATTACCTTCATGGGATATCTTCACTTGGTCGGGCATTTTTTCATAAACCGCCAATTCCTGAGAAAAAGGGGGTTAAAACCACACTTTATGTGTCAATATGTATACAATAAATGGCGTGAGGCTCTTTCATTTAACAAATAACCTTAAAAGACGTTCAACCTAAAGTTATGGTTTCAACACACAGTGAAGTCAGGTGTATTACATTAGGCACAGTAAAGCAACATGTCAGCTTAACAACCCAAAGCTCACCAATATCATTCTCGATATTTCTTTGCAGTCTTCTTTTGTTGCAGCCCGTACTTTGAAATGCATCTTTGTTGCTAATTCTCTACACTTCACTCTTTATCCTGACTTCTCCACTACCTTTTTGTTCCTTAGAGAGACGTCGAGTGACTACAAACAGTAACCGCGTTGATGTTAAAAGCAGACTTTACGCGATACCGGAAGTTCCGGCTGGTCAGTTTGGTTTGATCCTTCAAAATAAAAGATCAGTCAATTCGTGTAAGATTTGGGGGGAACACATGTCTACATTACCCTGTTATTAATTTGATAGGCTATTCAAATAATATTAGGCATTGACGTTTTGCACACTACGAAGAAATCTACAAAGAGATTGTTAAATGGACCACCATTACATGTCATACAGCGCTCCTCTCTCTGGGAAATTGCACTATTTATCTACTCTAAATAAACAGGCTGGTATTCAAGTACTTATACACCAAAGTAAAATGATCTAAAATCTATCAAAACGTATTGGTAATATTGTGAATCTGCACAAAGTGAGAATTGTTTTCAATTAGACTCTCGAACCAAAACACTTGAGTAACAAAATTGAAACCAATGCAACCTTTTTATTTGTACGTTTATATATATTTTTGGGTACCACTTTACAATAAGACTACCCTTATAAAGGATTCATAAAGGGTTTATAATTAGGTTATGAATTAGGTTGTAAACACTTTATTAATCATTAAGAACCATTTATAAACCAGTTGTAACATAGTTTTCATACATCAACACAGGCTCACTATTTGGCAAGATGACTAAGCCTTATATTGGCTACTTAGCGAGAATCAACTCAGTGAGCAACAGATACCAAGGATGCTAATGTAGCTGATGAAGAAGACGAAGTAGCCAATATAAGACTTAGCAGTACAGATAAATGTGGGCTCACTATGTGGCAAGCAGCCGGTCACAGTTGCCCTGTTTATCTCATGTCTTATAAAAGCTTATTCATGATTGATAAAGTATTCACAACCTAATTAATAAACTAATTACAAACTATTCGTAAACCCTTTATAAGGGTAGTCTTATTGTAAAGTGGTACCTATTTTTGTTATGTCTTGTCATGCATTAGGTATGTTTGCAAGTGTTCCTGTGGATTTTAGTATGTTTTACACATGAATAAATATATTTCTGGAGAATGATTGCATAGAATCATTATAATGTTCCTGGGAGATTATGAGTTCCTACATATTTCAAGAAAAGATAGTTGTATTAATTAAAAGATCAAACTAGTTCACATACAATTAAAGGACATTTAGAGTTACAGGGCTGGCTTGGACATAATCATCTCCTGACTTCTTTAAACAGGGAGGGCAAATACTCACAAATAAGATTGGATTCATGATCTATCCTCATCACTCCCTGACTGTCTACTCACTGAGTTGTAAATACAAATATGTTGAGATGGTTAAACATGCCACCTAATGGATAGACATGGTGTTACATCTAGGATTGTATTTAGATGAAATACTGTGAAATGAAGGAAGGTCAGAGGTTGTTTAATTAAAAGCATATAGATTACACACACGTTTTTGTAAATATGTAACATGATACATAATGATGATGAACCACAAGAAAAAAAGGCAGTGAGGTCCCAGGTTGTGAAGTTTAAATTGGCAATGTTTTATAACCAAACACATTGTTTGTAACGAGAACATTTTTTTTTTCCTTGGCTGACTTCTAATCTTGTGGAGCTTCATTGGCCAAACTGATCACAATCTTTAACCATCATCACCGACACGAAATAAAGTAGGAAATAAACTCAGGACTAGATCACTGTCTAAATATTCTTTTTACACTTTCACAAATATTGATATGAAAGTTGCAAACATTTTTTGGGTATAATGAAATTACAAAGAAAATGAGCACTCATCACTGAAAGGTGACAAAGCTTAACCATAACTGTGAAATGAAGGAAGGTCAGAGGTGGTTTGATTAAAAGTATATAGATTACATGCAGGGTTTTTGTAAATATGAAACATGATTGTTTGATTTTAAGGATTTAAACATATTTAGGCGATAATAATAATGTAAATGCATACAAACATTGTTCTTCACTGAAAGGAGACAAAGATTATCCATGACTGCAAAAGGAATGAGGGTCAAAGGTACTTTATTAAAAAGATGAGTATATAAAATGATAGATTTCATGTAGGTCACTGTAAATAAGAAACATAATTTTTTTCATGATTGTTAAACCAGGAGCATGCCAGGTTAGTGAAGCTTAATTTGGCACTGTTTCAATACCAGTGACATGTTTTCAGAGCAAGATACATGTTTTCCTCGGCAGACATTTAATCTTTTGGAGCCTCATTGGCTAAATTGTCCAGGTTTTGTCCGTCAAAGCGTATACAGTGCCATCCTTCGCTGTCTGTGAGGTCCTGAGCGCCTTTAGCAGCGTAGAAGTCTCTGGCCGGGGTATTACAGTCCAGCACTGATAACTGCAGCCGCACACACTGCTTCTCCTTCCCCACCTGAGAAACAGAACAGCCATCTTCTTCTTCATCACACTGGACATTATTTCTTTAAATGCGCTTTAGAGGCCAACAAACATCCTTGGTGTGCCCTATTGGCTCAACTTGCAGAACGTGTGTCCAATGTATGGGAGTCTTTACAGCATGTCGTCCCCTCCCTCTCTCTCCTTCCGGTCAATGTTTAGCTGTACTAGTCAAAAATAATCTTTAAAGAAAGCACATTCTTACCTTAGCGACTTTGCACAGTAAACCCTTTCCAAATCCATTTCCTGTAAAGGTAAATCAATACAAAACGTTTACAAAATGAATGAAACAGATATTGCAAGACCAAAGCAGTACATAAAACGTGTACTGCTTTGTACTTGAAAGTAGCCTTGAAAGTATTCGTGAGAACTTTCAAGGCTTTCTTGAAAAGTACTTAAAGCTCCCATGTCATGCTTTTCCGGTTATTACCCGTCCCCTTGTGTGTTATGAAGGTTTTTATGCATGTAAACGGTGTGCAGAGTCAAAACCCTCAAAGTACACCCTGTAGCGAGTAAAACTCTAACACAGAAAATACCTCCCCAAAACGCCTCGTTGGAGATACGTCACTGCCCATTTGATTCTTCCGGGTACCGCATGATGTCATGCGGTACCCGGAACGAAATGGACCAATCCCGAAGAGCTATGGCCACACCAGCAGCGGCGTGTTCCTCCTCCAGAGGTTCGAAGAACCGGCATTTCACAGACAAAAGCTTCCAAAACATTGCCCAGTTTGAGGCCGGATATGCACAGCTTGTTTGGACCGTTTGGAGCAGGGGAAGATCTGGGTATACAACCTGTAAGTTTGCATTGTTATGTGTATTTATCAAACAAGACTGTTTAAATGTGTAAACTGTGTTGGACTGCTAAGCCATTGACACAGTGCTAACTAAGTTGCTAGAGTTTCCATATATCAACTCTAATATCAGCAGATGGCCTTGCATACATGTATCTCATAGCAGGAGAATGTCTGCATTCACACACAAAATACCTATTGACAGTATACTCCGGGTGATTTGCCGGTCAGTCGCGAAACGTAATTACATTATAGCTGGCGTAGCGATCTAACACACGGAGCTAGAGCTAGTTTCGGTCAGAAAAACATTTTTGTGATGCTACGTTGCTAGCGTTTAAATATATCAACTACAATGTCAGCAGATGGCCTTACATGTTTGTCATGGCAGGAGAATGTCTGCAGTCACACACACGGAATACTCATACAGTATACTGTACTGTGATTTACCGTACATTGTGACCGTACATATACTGCATGTAGCTAACGAGGCTAGCTGTATGCTAGCGCAAAACAATGTATTCATGCAAGTTACATTGTATGGTAGCAGAATACCCGTATACGATTGCAATTATAAACACGTTATTGCTAGCCTAATATGAACCACTAGCTTTTGTTCATAGTAGTTTTATTACACTGCATTATAGTTGCCTTTCCTCCAAGCTAACGTTCATATCGTGTTAGCTACCAAGGTAAACAAAGCTAGGTTAGCATATTAGCAGGCAAGCTGTTCATTACACAACTACTACTAACTAATCTAAAACAACTAAGTTTCTCTAATATTTTGTGATTTGCATTTGATTTCGTCCAGCCAGATCCTGGCGGACAATCCATGACGGGGAAGGGATTCTACTACTACTGAGGGTGCTAAAAGGCACCGCACCGACTGTGCGCAGGCAAGATGCGAGGAGGAGGAATGAATGATATACCGTGTGTATATATGTATATTTATGTTCATTTTGTACATTTCTAAAAATAAAGTTTAATGGAAATACTTAGTAGGCCTATCCTTTCTTCCCTGAATTCATATATAGCAAACCATGATTTGATTTCTCATCAAACAGTAGTAGTTTATAACGGGTAAAAATAACTTACTCTTTGTTATGAGAGTAGCTCGTAGGCCACAACGGAAAGACAAGGAGACATACACGAGTTTACAAAACCACGGCACATTTATTGTGGTAAATGCAAAGATAGGTGGTTGAGAGGATCGCAGAGTTAGTCTTCCTGCAGCCGCTTTGGAGGAGGTGTCCGTGATCGTGCGGATTAGCCTCTTCAGCTCCACCCCATCGTAAGACAAAGGCCCTGGGGCCGTCACACTCTTCTATAACAACAGTTAAAAATATATATGTATATAAAATATACCGCTGTACCGACGCCATGATAAGACTGATGTTACGCTGAGAGCAGCCGGGAAAAGCACTGACATGGGCGCAGCCTCTCTGGTGGTTGACTAATCAGAACGAGTGGCCGAGCTGACCAATCGGAGCACACTAGGCTCACAGGGAGGGGGGGGCAAGAGCTCCAACGAGTCGTTTAGTGGAGAAAGTGAATACTGCTGAATACACATGCTTGACAGAGATGCTGTATGCGAAACCAATGTGAGTTTGGAAAATTGCACAGTATAAATCTATTTTAGTATACCTCAACAATGTAATTATGATCAGTGGAAATGGCCATGACATGGGCCCTTTAACACATAGTTTACCTCTGAATTCTGGCATCACGTACAGGTCCTCCAAAAACATTGTCGGCCCCTTCCATGTACTGTAAGTGTAAAAGTAAAGGGCATATCCAACTACTGTGAATCCTACATGGACAAAAAGGAACAAGCACTTCAAAGACAAGCAGAAAGAGTTACAGAAACATTGAAATGGCCACAAATAAAGAGGATTGTTTTCTTGTTTTGCATTTTTTTTAAATCATTATTGACCTTTTATTATCTGTGCTAGATGCCTATAAGTTTGGAGCATGCTGACAGGGGGAGATAACCATGGCTTTGATCAACACTTTACCATCTTTAGATTTATTCTCCTCAGGCACTTCTGCAACGAGGCATTCAAAGGAAGGATTCTGGCAGAAACCGTCCCGCTCCAGTTCTAAAGTAAACAAACAAACAAACAGATTAAGCACCTAAAAGCAACATTTTACATTATAAATAATATCAATGATCTGCAACCAAGTGACACATCATAAACAAGATTTGAAACATTTCAAAATTAATTCTCAACCTTTTTTTTTGTTGCAACTCTGCTCTTATAAGCTAAGATAATAACACTGCTACAAAATAGTCAATTAGACAAGAGACTTAAGAAATGATTTGACTTTAGCACAACCAACTACCGCACATCTTTAAATTGGAAGGTTTCATGCAGACTAAGTTGTTAACTCATAAACATATTGAATGCATTTCCTACTTCAGTATGTGTACTTTTACTTAAGTAAAACTAGTAATTCTTCGAACATCGGTAGACATCTATGTACAGTCAATAGTACAAATACTGCTCTACAATAGTGGTCAAAAACTCAACCCTGGTACCCTTTGGTATTGTACACATCATAGTCACACTTTGTACTGTCTGGCTGATGTGCTTATATTCATCGCTGCTTTCTAAACAGACCCTCAATTACTTACAACTCAACTTTAAACAGTTATAAAAGGGAGACAGCCTTTTGTTAGGAGTAACTCATACAGAAACTCAGCTTCCAATGTTGGAAAAGTGGAAACAAATCAGTGCCATGCAATCTGCCTCCTGATCCTGAAGATCCAAACTCACTGTAATACAGTTACTGATTAATGCAAACCTGTTTATCTTAGTCTCGTTGCAAAGTCTTGCATTTCCTATTTCAGGCTATAATAACTAACGGACACTGTAGCCTACACTTTAGACAGTGTGTGAAAAAGTATTCAGACACTTGACTTGAGTAAAAGTAATAATACCACACTGTGATCATACTCAAATTTTAAATAAAAGTACTGCATCGAGAATGTACCTTAAATAAAAGTATGTAGGTACGATTAGAAAAATGTACTAGGAGTAAAAGATCTTGCAGGAAAAACTCTTAATTATTTCAAAGCAAAATTGCTGCCAATAATTTTCTGGTACACTTGTGGTTCTGTGAACTTAAATATAATGTTGGATGGTTTAATCTATACCAAAAAAAGCATTGTGTGTCAATATCTTTATTTATAAAGTTACTAGTAAATACATCTGTAAAATAGTTGTAGTGGCCAAAATGTAGTAGGCTACAGTAGAAGTAAAAAATGAAAATACTCCAGTTAAATACAAGTACCCTCAAATGTGTACTTAAGTGCAGTACTTGAGTAAATGTACTTAGTTACTTTCCACCACTGCACTTTAGACAAATGTCACACTTCAACATGCAAACCCAGTAGCACTCATATTATAACTGATATGCTGGTACTATAGAGCTCTTTCACAGACATTGATATCCAGAGTAGGAAAAACACAGCATTTGTTTTAATTATCGATGCCATCATTTGCAGTGTTTGTCCAATACATTATTAGGAGCATTACCTTCATGGGATATCTTCACTTGGTCGGGCATTTTTTCATGAACCGCCAATTCCTGAGAAAAAGGGGGTTAAAACCACACTTTATGTGTCAATATGTATACAATAAATGGCGTAAGGCTCTTTCATTTAACAAATAACCTTAAAAGACGTTCAACCTAAAGTTATGGTTTCAACACACAGTGAAGTCAGGTGTATTACATTAGGCACAGTAAAGCAACATGTCAGCTTAACAACCCAAAGCTCACCAATATCATTCTCGATATTTCTTTGCAGTCTTCTTTTGTTGCAGCCCGTACTTTGAAATGCATCTTTGTTGCTAATTCTCTACACTTCACTCTTTATCCTGACTTCTCCACTACCTTTTTGTTCCTCAGAGAGACGTCAAGTGACTACAAACAGTAGTGATGTGTCGGTCGCGAACGAGCCGATTCTTTTGAACGGCTGTTTGGTACGAACGAGGGGAACCGAGTCCTACTTGGTGAGAGCCGTTCTTGTTATCGTTCAATCGTTGGTCCGCACTCACTGCCTGCCAAAATCCACTCGCCTTTTAAAAAGCTTGATTTTGTTCCCCAAACGTATTCTGTGAAGACCCGCCCCTACTCTGTTTGGTAGGTTTCAGCACGAGGAGTGAGATGGGTGGGTCTTAACGGAATACGCGAGAGAGAAGTCATAACAAGTGGTACAGGACAGGTAGACAACGTGTTTTTCGGATGGAAAATGAGCCAAACGCGAAAACGCAGCAGCATTTGGATTCACTTCAACCAAAACCCAGGCAGTGATAAAGCGCACCATTTGTAAAGGCAAAATATCCTTTAAAGCAGGATCAACAAATAATCTCCATCGCCACTTAAAAACACAGTATCTAATATTAAGAGTTGCATGAATTTCATTCAAGGCAAGGCAACTTTATTTACTTAAAGGGCCCATGTCATGGCCATTTCCACTCATCATAATTACATTGTTGAGGTATACTAAAATAGATTTATACTGTGCAATTTTCCAAACTCACATTGGTTTCGCATACAGCATCTCTGTCAAGCATGTGTATTCAGCAGTATTCACTTTCTCCACTAAACGACTCGTTGGAGCTCTTGCCCCCCCCTCCCTGTGAGCCTAGTGTGCTCCGATTGGTCAGCTCGGCCACTCGTTCTGATTAGTCAACCACCAGAGAGGCTGCGCCCATGTCAGTGCTTTTCCCGGCTGCTCTCAGCGTAACATCAGTCTTATCATGGCGTCGGTACGGAACTGTTGTTATAGAAGAGTGTGACGGCCCCAGGGCCTTTGTCTTACGATGGGGTGGAGCTGAAGAGGCTAATCAGCACGATCACGGACACCTCCGGAACGACGGCCCCAGTCTCTCTCCAAAGCGGCTGCAGGAAGACTAACTCTGCGATCCTCTCAACCACCTATCTCTGCATTTACCACAATAAATGTGCTGTGGTTTTGTAAACTCGTGTATGTCTCCTTGTCTTTCCGTTGTGGCCTACGAGCCACTCTCATAACAAAGAGTAAGTTATTTTTACCCGTTATAAACTACTACTGTTTGATGAGAAATCAAATCATGGTTTGCTATATATGAATTCAGGGAAGAAAGGATAGGCCTACTAAGTATTTCCATTAAACTTTATTTTTAGAAATGTACAAAATGAACATAAATATACATATATACACACGGTATATTCCTCCTCCTCGCATCTTGCCTGCGCACAGTCGGTGCGGTGCCTTTTAGCACGAGGCCTCAGTAGAAGTCCCTTCCCCGTCATGGATTGTCCGCCAGGATCTGGCTGGACGAAATCAAATGCAAATCACAAAATATTAGAGAAACTTAGTTGTTTAGATTCGTTAGTAGTAGTTGTGTAATGAACAGCTTGCCTGCTAATATGCTAACCTAGCTTTGTTTACCTTGGTAGCTAACACGATATGAACGTTAGCTTGGAGGAAAGGCAACTATAATGCAGTGTAATAAAAACTACTATGAACAAAAGCTAGTGGTTCATATTAGGCTAGCAATAACGTGTTTATAATTGCAATCGTATACGGGTATTCTGCTACCATACAATGTAACTTGCATGAATACATTGTTTTGCGCTAGCATACAGCTAGCCTCGTTAGCTACATGCAGTATATGTACGGTCACAATGTACGGTAAACCGGAGTATACTGTATGAGTATTCCGTGTGTGTGACTGCAGACATTCTCCTGCCATGACAAACATGTAAGGCCATCTGCTGACATTGTAGTTGATATATTTAAACGCTAGCAACGTAGCATCACAAAAATGTTTTTCCGACCAAAACTAGCTCTAGCTCCGTGTGTTAGATCGCTACGCCAGCTAATGTAATTACGTTTCGCGACTGACCGCACGGCAAATCACCCGGAGTATACTGTCAATAGGTATTTTGTGTGTGAATGCAGACATTCTCCTGCTATGTATGTATGCAAGGCCATCTGCTGATATTAGAGTTGATATATGGAAACTCTAGCAACTTAGTTAGCACTGTGTCAATGGCTTAGCAGTCCAACACAGTTTACACATTTAAACAGTCTTGTTTGATAAATACACAAATAACAATGCAAACTTAAAGGTTGTATACCCAGATCTTCCCCTGCTCCAAACGGTCCAAACAAGCTGTGCATATCCGGCCTCAAACTGGGCAATGTTTGGAAGCTTTCGTCTGTGAAATGCCGGTTCTTCGAACCTCTGGAGGAGGAACACGCCGCTGCTGGTGTGGCCATAGCTCTTCGGGATTGGTCCATTTCGTTCCGGGTACCGCATGACATCAGGCGGTACCCGGAAGAATCAAATGGGGAGTGACGTATCTCCAACGAGGCGTTTTGGGGAGGTATTTTCTGTGTTAGAGTTTTACTCGCTACAGGGTGTATTGAGGGTTTTGACTCTGCACACCGTTTACATGCATAAAAACCTTCATAACACACAAGGGGACGGGTAATAACCGGAAAAGCATGACATGGGAGCTTTAACACATACAGAGGGTAAATTCAAAGTAATCACTGACATGATGACATGGATATGGCGCCACCTTGTGTCATGTTTACAATGCCGATTATTGACATTAGGTCTGGCAATACAGTCAATCATTATCCTGGTGATTATTTTGCAGATAAACCTAGTAACCTTAAAAAAACGGCTCTTTTGAACGGCTCTTTGAAAGGAACGGAGCCATAAGATCCGGCTCCCTTCAAAGAGCCATAATTCCCATCACTAAAGTGCACGTTACTGATGCAATATGGTTGAGACCATTCGGGCTTATGCTATAAGAGGGGTGCAAGGAATAGTCTAAGTGGGGGGAGTTTTATACACTAAAGGTGTGGAAATTCTCTGGCGTTATAATATCAGCGCGGCCGCGGTCAGATCAAAATGCCTCCGAATGCAATTTGAATAGACCTACAGCCAATCAGAGCAACGCAACGTTGGATCTGCGTCATGCCTTATTGATTGAGATCAATCGAAACCGCCATTCAGTATCCCCATTGGATCTTCAACGTGTACTATCATACGTCACGTTCACAGTGATCCCTTTTTATTTACTACAAGACAAATGTGCCGTTTTATTTCATACAGTTCCATTTTGATTGAGACAGGGAAATAATCTAAACCTCACGCGTGGCGTTTCACTGTCAAGGGGGCGATATAGCGTGTATGTAATTACATTGCAAATACTGACTTGAGCACCACTGTATGGGTTAGCCCTCCCTGCTGAAAAAAACAGCATAGACCAGCTTAAGATGGTTGCTGGTTTTAGCTGGTTTTAGCTGGTTTTAGCTGGTTTTAGCTGGTTTTAGGCTGGTGTTAGGCTGGTTTAGTTGGTTTACCAGGCTGGACAAGCTGGCCAGGCTGTTCTTGCTGGTTCAAGACCAGCCTGGTCAGCTAAACCAGCATAGCCCAGCATGGATGTCATGCTGGTCTATGCTGGTTTTAGCTGGTCTATGCTGGTGTGAAGCTGGTGAAGCTGGTCTACCAGCAGTCTTGCTAGCGAAACTGAAATAGACACAGACAGAGAGAGGCGGGACACAGGGGGAACGGCGAGACGGCAGTGGTTGAAACAAAGCGGTATGTTTTGACTGGCACTAACGGTCGAGGAGTGAAGATCAGTTGAACGTTTCTGTGACTCCGCCCAGCGGCTGCTCTTCTGAGAGGCACCGCTCTGACAGCTCTGTCTACTGGGAAACGCGCTAAAAGTCCTTCTGGAGGTAAGCAACACTACACAATTTCACCAAGTCTGAGAGTAAAAGCTTTCTCGAAGGTTCGTTTTGCTTTCTTACAACGTTACGTTAATGTTAACTTAACCTTACGTTTGCTAGGAGGCTAGCTGTCTTAGCTAACAACAGTTAGCAGCTAACGTTTTCTCCAGTTTGTGTTTCCCCTGAAAAACGTGATGCAGCTATAAGTTGTAAGTTAACTTAACGTTATCTTACAAGTTGAGAGAGTTACGTTTTGTTTAAAATCGTCAATGTAATGCCATTAGAGGTGTTGTGTTGAACATGAAGTTAGCTAACTGTAGCTCTCCACCAAAGGTTAGCATGTTAAGCTGTACTTTCTGTGGCAGCTCGCTTAATACAAAGAGGGCTTCATTGTAAATTTTCTTACAAATGTGTGTTAATCTACCTGAAATTGTAGGGACAGTTTTTTTCTACTCAATGATACAGACCATTGTTGAGGAGATGCAAAACATACTGTAATTGAGTTGGGTCTGACATAACTTTGAGTAATGTTACTTTACTGCTAAAAAAAAGAAACATTATCAGAAGAGGATATCACCAAAGTGTGTGAGTCTGTCAGGGGATTTGATCTGTTCTCTGCATGTCGTACAGGGCCTATGTACACCACTGCTCTGGTATTAATTAAAAAATAATTGGAAAATGTAAGTCTCCCGCTCTTGTCATCGTTCAGGCTTTGCATTTGAACTCCTATGACTGGTTGCGGACTTGAAGGGAATGACTTCCTGGCCTTCCTGACATCCAGGAAAAATGGTGAGATTCTAATCCATTTCAATGCCAAAAGCAAGTTATTGTTTTTAACTTTTTTAATATGATTTTTTGGGGAATTTCAGTTTTATTGGACAGTAGAGATCTAATGGAAACAGTGGAGAGGGGGAGATGATATGCAGCAAAAGGCCGAGCCGGATGGTTGCTGCTCCATGTGGAACGTGTTCTATCAGGTAAGCACTTTGGTACCCAGTTATTTATGGTATTGAGTTTGAATTGAGCCTTTAGAAGGTATTTTCCAACATTGCATTGTAAAGACTGAAAAAACAGGCTCAGGTTAAAGCTTGACATGATTGGTCTTTACTTAAAGGTGGGTAGGTAATTTTGGAGAAACCAGCTCGAGTGCGCTAGAATTTGAAAATACAACCGGAAAAAATCTGCCACTTCCTTACAGAGCCCCTTCTCCAACACACACGAACGCGCACATGACCAATGAGGGCACGAGATAAGTTTGTGCACAGATGGAAGGCTGACAGGCAGGTAGGCCATCCAGTTACTTTAGCCGGGCCGGCTCAATGATTGGTCGTGCTTTTTACAG